TTATCTCAAATTTTAAATAAAAAAAAACAATACCAATTAAAGCAACCTTATATATATTTTTTGGAAAATTTAACTGTGTTTACTGAATATAATTATTTTTTTTAACTGTATTATTAATTTGTATGTTCAAATTGGTTGGTTACTAAGTTCAAGTATCTAATGTTAGAATTGAAATTTACCAACGCTTTGACAAATAAGATGTTTTCTCAAACCTAGATCACCAGATTGTTATACTTTTAATACATACATGCATACCTCAATATTATATTGTAAAAGCTATTACAATTATTTAAATTACATATGTATATACAATAAATAAAATTAAGTTTCAAAACACTAGTTACGATTATCCAGTGCAGTATATATGGCAATAAATCTAAGTAAAAACCATTCTCAGATTTCACGTATGTGGTTTTCATTTTGACCCTGTATTTCTCTCTAACATTATGCAAGCATTTTCATATATCGTTATTATTTATTGCGTAGTAGTGTTTTGCCGTTTTGTATTTCGTTCTAACGAATATGGCTTTTTGTAATTTGGTATAAGCCAAAAAAAAACAATTTACAAATGCTCCTTCCAATGTAAGTGAAAACTGAGTAGTAATTTTCAGAAATATCCTAAACCGTGCCGCAGTACCAAAAAAAAAACAGTCAATTCACGGAAAGTTGTTATTTAGGGGAAGCAGATCCTTTGTATTCCTGCGTGTGTTTATTGGAGTTCTAAAAATAACGCTTTTATATACTCTGAAATCTTATAAAGTCACGTACCGTACATTCTGTTGTCATTTGGCGAAAAACACGCTTAAATATCACTTTCTCAGCAGATAATTCTTTGGTTTATTCCGCGTTTTATTAAAAAAATAAAATAAAATTCTCTATTACAAACTGGGCGTTTTTATATTTTATATATTAATGCTTCAGTTTTGATATTTACATAGGAATCAGTTGTATATTGTGTAAATATCTACGTTATGGCGGCCAATATCGAATAGGTATTCTTTTCTTGTCATACACTCTATATTATATCTTAATTTTTCTACCTATTTAGGTTAAATTATTTGTTAACGTCTACTTTGTGAAATTACTTTCTTTGAACTTATTGATTTTGCTAGTCGTCGATTAATATCGTCAATACCGTTGACGATAAAAAATAAAGCATAACTTATTATTTTCATGTACACATGTCGTATAAATATCGTATAAATATGTATAAAACTAAAGTTATATTTGAATTCTACCGTTAATTTTAAACATCCTGTATAGGTCTGCCTAACTACCCACATGGCAAATATTTCAAAAACTATTAAGATTAGCCATAGCATAGTGCTATACAAAATATGTTTCGAGGCAACGGTAAAATTTTTCATCACTCGCCGATCCACTAATGGGACACCCTGTACACATAGCAGAAGATTTTTTTTTTTAAGGTTGCATAACTAGGTCAGTTAATGTATAAATAAATGACATAAATAAGAAAAATTGTTAATTTGATTTTATCATTTCCATTACATGATAATGTATATTTGTGTACATATTTAGCAAGTTTTGTTTTTCCTTTTAAATAATAGTCCTATAAATATATATACTATTTTCTGAATAATATATTTTCTTTTGACTTAGAAAAGACTTAAATATTTAATCTTTCTAGGTATATCAAATTGTATCCGCCAGTTGTTATTTTTTACAAATATTTAAAGAAAATATTGGTTGACCATTACAAATTAGATGGATAAATAAAGTAATTAACCAACGAGAGCACGTCATTCTTTCATTTATACAAATAAGCAAGAGCAGGACAGAAAATCTGTGGAAAAATTTACGTCACAGAAATAAATAAATATATATGTATATATAAACTTTTAAATAAGTTAGTTCTTTTATATAGGGTAAGTTAAAAGTTGGTGAGCGCTCATATATCTCAAGAATTGTAAGACTTTTATGAAATTTAGTATACGGGGGCTACTAATTCGGTTGGATCCAATGCCACATTTATGTTTTTTCCCTAAGCTACCAAACCTTTTTATTTTAATTAAAAATATATTCCATTTTTTTGGATCGCTCTTTAAGGCCTAATGTAACATACCTCATACCCAAAGAATTCCACCTTTTAAAAACTAAAATTTAACTTATAAACGTTATATTTGAACGAAATAACAATAATAACTATTTAAAAACAAAGAAAAAAGGTAGGTACTGCTAAGCGATCTGTAAAATCCCAGTGTTTTGGAGAGCATTTAGACGAGTCTATTTCCTCTACTTTGAACGAACTGAATGTTGAGCTCATATTTTACAAAAAATATATATATTATCTCGGGATTAAATTTGCTGACGCAGTTATTTAAGTTTAACAAATTGGCTAAAACGGTTGAATTTGGGTACAGGGTATGTTACATGAAAAATTCATCCAAAAATGGAATGAATATACACGATTTCTCTTTAAAATAAGAAATAGTAATAAATATGGCCTAATTCGAAATCCTCGTATACTAAATGTCATAAATTTAAGTCTAATAATTCTTGAAATGCGTTCGTTATGCGACTTTTGACTGTATATCTAATCACGTCTAAACTTAATAAATAACAAATCCTATAATGTAATAGATCAATTTTGTTGTCCAAAAATTTTAAATTTGCAAAACTTAATTAATTACCTAAAATTATAATTTTCTTTAATATTTTAACATTATATTTGGCAATGCGTGTGTATTTCCACGCAAAGTGTGAACCTCACGGTACACAAAAAGTTGCGCAAACTTTTCCGGATAGAAATATACGGGCAACCAACTCGAACGCCAGCAGAAAACCTAATTAGCTTAACGCATTAAAACATTACAACGCGTTTATGTAAAATTTCCTCGAATTAAAAATTTAAACCACGCAGAGTTTGACTTTCCAACCAATTATAAGTGCGCGGTGTACCTTCCAAGCATCAGATTGCGCAATCAGGAGAATTACCAAGCAATAAACTGCCCGCACATGAATTTAAAAGACCATATATCAATCTCGTTAGATATTGCCAAATCTCAGTTCGCTTTCCATTGTAAGAGATTCTAATTTACGATTCCTTTTGTTTTGTTTACTAATAAATTAAATTACTAAATTATATCGACCCGTGATCCCGTCCTGTTTGACAACCAGGAAAGATTATACAGGAATATTTGGCACGCTTGAATATACAAGGTTACGGCGTCTTGCGAGTAATATAAAATATTACTTATACATTAAAAAATAATTTATTTGCCAGAGAAATGTATACTTGAAGGTCATACCACGTTCACCAATTTTTTTTTATCTGTTTTATTTTGTAACGACGAATATTAATCACGTATGAATGAATATCGGATTTTAATTGGACGTGATTTACGCGGAAAGGTCAAACTGGAAAAATAGGAGAGAACCATTTGTTGACAATTCGATTGGTTTAACGACAAAGAAAACAGAATATTCGCCCGTTGTTAACTATAATAGTTCAAAGCGAATATAAATTCACTTGCCTGAGTAACAGAACGTCTTTAAACAAGAGCCACGACGTGTTAGTGCCCGTACCAAAAAGAGCAAACACCATAAATTACAATTTTATTAAGTCATTAACACGACACATTATAAACTATCTTTGTATAAATTGCGTTTATTATTGCACCGAACAAGATGTGTCTTTTGTCGGATGTTTGAGTTATTCTTAAAGTCGCTATTCGGGGCAAAAGATAAATTATCTTTATTATGTTGATTAAAGCGAACTTGAAACCTTTCTTCAGAAATGCCGACATTTTAATTTCTAAATAATACGGCTCCACATTTAGACGGATTAATGCACATTTGTGAGTTAATTTTTTTAACCCCTAACGCTGTCATTGCGAGGCCAATTAGAAAAGGGAAACACCTTAACAGAATTAAAATATTATCTGCTTTTAAACAATACGTTATCGCTATTGCAGTTTACGTAATACCGGTGTTGTTTACTAAATCTTTTTTTTTTTACTAAAAGAGCGCTAAAAGCCTGTATGAAAAATGTAAATCGCTTTTTTTGGCACGGGGCAGCATAGATTTCAATATAACTAGCGTGGTTTAAATTAATGGAATAATGTAACAAAAATAACATTACATAAATATACACTGCTCGGCCTTCAACTTTTAGATTTCACCTGTATTTTTGTTCCGTCCAAAATTATACCTGTTAATTGCCCTGTTGCCAAGTATACTACATGCATTTCATACGGTATATATCTGCTAACTCAAATAACAATAAAATTTATAAGCATTGTGGTGAAAAAAGTAAATTTGTCATGGCTATTTTCAACAATTCGTCAATGTGTGGGTTAACAAAATTATTATTGCAGTTGAGCAATAAATTAATTTAATTTAACTTCGTAACGGTTTGGAAATTAATTTACAGCGTATTTTTGGAAATATTGCCAGTAGCACAGGAAAGGAACCCCTTATAACTTTCGGCCCAAAATAATGAAATAAATAAATAATATTATTATAAACAACCAAGTGAATTTTACATCGGCTGTTCTTAAGTAATTTTTGTTCTGGCATCGGATCTATATCTATATAGACTTAGTTTATAGAAAGTTTTCACCCAGTTTAGGCCTAGTTGTTTTCTGTAAAAACATATGCCGACAATATGACGCTTGAAGTGTTTAGAGCCAATAATTTTGTACCTATCTTATCAACCGTTGACTCCAGGCATGTTAGATTTATTGGTGCTTAAAACGATCTGGTGCTTAAGTGTTTAGAGCACAAAAATTCAGGATAATCGTTACGTTAAATACCAACGTAAAACACAGCGGGATTATTTATAAATTATGGTATCGAAACAATTTCTTTCTTTCTTTCTTTCTACTTGGTTTGAAATTAAAAAAATATTTCCAAGCGACGGAAAAAAAAACATCAACAAACATGCCAATCACTGGTATTCCGCGATTCAATGGGATATATCCAGTTATAAATTAAACAGTAAATACAACCGTAAGGACAAGACACGATCATTTACAAACCTTTCGGGTAAAAAAATCAGCTGCTGTAGATTTTTTTTTAAAGCACTGATTCACATTTGTGTCTCAACCGTAAATATGGATGAGAGTTCGATGGTTTGGATTCATTCGTGAACCACTGCAGCACTTTTCTGACAGGCGACAACCTCGGGAAACGGGGGAAACTGTATTTACCGACGACAAACCGTGTTCAACAAGGTAACGATCACTGAAACATTAGTCGAACCGCTAACTAATATCACCTTCTAAGAACATGGAGCAAACTGACTAGTTCAATTGCGCGTTTGCCAACCATTTTCCCCACATACCTGCGTTTTGGAACCTTATTCTACCTTCCCAGAAACATAAATAAAATTAAAAAACTTTTTTTCATAATTTTTGCTGTATAGTAACTCAAGACCATATTTATAGTGTTTTAGTTACAAGTTTAATACATCAGTCATTTAAATAAGGGAAACAAACGATCAGTCAACAATAAAATATACCTCCCCTTTTGGGTATTTTAAATGACCTAACCGTCCTTTAAAGTTACCTTAAAAAGTTATAAACAAGACCCTGCACCCCTAATACATTAAAACATTTTGCTCGAATGCACATTATCTGTGTTTTCTTAGTGATTATCCTCTACTAGGGTGTAGCCTTCGCTGGCCACTTGTTAAGTAAATAACTAAGTGATTGAGATTAAAGTTTAATCTGTAATATTATTGTTTATTTATACGAAAGGCGTCATTCATAAATTGCCTTAAAACCGAGTCGAAATTAACTCTTTTATTTTCACGAGCGGGGTAAGTAAAAATTCCGATTATCGAATAGAATAGCCCCCAAAACTTACTCTTGGGGTACACCAAAAGGAGCACAAAAAAAGCAATTAAAGTGGAATAAAAAATAATAACATATGTATCAACTTCTTTTACTACCATTTTCAATTACCTTGAATGGTTTTTATTCACCGTATTATAAGCTACGCTAAGGATATTGCTCAAATGCTGGCAACGTTGGAAGGATAAATGTTGAGATACTCAACGCGCGCAAGCGTATTACCATTTAATCCACAATGGAAAAATGCAATTCTATATAGGACGGCGCAAACATTCCTCAACATGTTTCGTAACTAACGTTTGCAAGCTAATCTTGGTGCAAATTTTGCCCAGATATTTAGACGAATTTTCATAAGCAGAATACAATAAGGGGAATATATGAATATTTCTGCAAAAAAATGTTTATATTTGGTGCTATTATTAAGCAAAAACGTTGGGTTCTCTATATTTGGGATAACAATTTGGAACACTCCGTATAGCCTCATGTAATTTCAGTTGCCTATATTCCTGGGAACTAGAATCTGAACGCGGATTCCCTATAATTTTTTTAAGAAAATGCTATTTATCTTTTTTGTTTATGCTCGCAATTGATGGATTGGTAAAATGATAAATTCATATGAATTTAATTTTGATGTTCGTAACGCAGTAGTGGTCTGTGGCTTTTAGTGTTTACGGTCACTGTCAAATCAAATGTCAGTCCTTGGCTATCTTTAACAAAACGGTGAAATATTTTATAAAGAAACAGCTTTAAATTTTTATCATGAATGGTGGGTCGTTATCGTTTTACCCACTTAGACTTGTGAATGTTAAACACCAATGAATTCGATAATCATGAGACTGAAAGCATAAGCAAATCTTTTCGTTAGCAGAAAGAAATTGTCTTCAAGCATGGAATTAACTCCAGAAAGATCGCCGGAGAACCAACCCAGGGGAGAACGTTGGGATCCCCTGGGAGCACCAACAGATGAGGATGAAATTGATTTTGATAATTTTGATTGTGAAGAACATCAACAGTAAGTATACACTATGGAACATATTACTTATGTGTTGTTTAAGACTTTATCTTCATAGATTTGCTATAGATAAAATAAGATCAATGGAAGATGAGCAAGAACTTCTAAATTCTTCTTTATTTGCGTTAACAACACATTTCGCCCAAGTTCAATTTCGTTTACGCCAAGTTGTAAACTCTCCTCCTGAAGATAGAGAAGAGTTACTTAAATCGCTAGAGGAGTTCGCCTTTCGGGGAATTCCTGATGTGGGATTAGTTAAAGAGAAAATGGATGAAGCTAGTTTGGCTGAAGCCGTAAGGCTTAGAAGGACACAGCAAAGAGAATTAATTGATAGATTAAAAAGCCAACTAAGGGAATTGGAACAATACGCTTTTGAAAATGGAGAAGCTGGGATACCACAAGATGTTCTATTAGAAAGACAGAGGGTTATTTTGAATGAGTTAAAGACTAGAATGAATTTGGAATTAGATGAAAAAGATTACCATCAGGTAAGTAAGTTTCATCTCTTCAATAAATAGTCTGATCAAGCTTTTTTAAGTTGTCAACTGCCGATGTAAAACAGCAAATCAACGTGGCCCTCGACCAGTTGGTTAGCCCGTTAAGAGTGAAAGAGCACTTAGTAGCGCAACTCAAAACACAGGTTGCAGATCTGGAAAGATTTATAAGTTATTTACAAGCTGATAGCAACAAAAATGCTAAATGTAGTTGTGGTTGTGCATATCATTCAGTTAAGAAACCATTTAGAAGCGAAACAACAATCGGATTAATACAAAAAACAGCTACTTTGTTGCAAATGTTTGCTGTTATGCAATTGGGCTGTGGTGTTAGATCTCAGTTCAAGAAAAATGATCTTAAAAATACCATGAAAGGCAATCATTGGGGGTAAGTTAAATAGGTTCAAATTTACCACTGTTTTTTTAAATTTATTTATTCTTTAAGTGACTTGAGGGCAAAACTGGAGTTAGCCATCAATAATGTGAAGGAATTAGCAGAAGCAAATGAGCAGAGAATTAATTCGGTTCAGGGTGATTACTCTAGTGATTCCGAAACTCAGTCAATTTCTTGTGATGTCCAATTAACAACAGCGGTTAGGAAATATTTAGCACCATGCATAAGAGATTTGATGCAGCATGGATCTTGCGTTGCCCAATCTACAAGTCTGGTGCCTTTCATGGGGTGTTTCCCTAGACGAAACTCTTTGTCGGCGACTGACATTCATGCCTGGGAAATTATATTAGGTAATATTGCTCTATTGCTATTGTAGCTGTTAAAATTTTATTATATTAATATTTTAATTTCATAAAAATAAATAAATAAATAATAGAAAAATTGTTTCAAAATAGTGTAATTTTAAAAATATGTTGTATATTATAACCTGTGACTAAAGCTGTTGGGCAATAGTTTACTCCTTATTTTCAGAATATTATCACTTGAAAAACGGTGAAAAATATAATTCTACGCCGGCTCGGAAGTTGTCTCAGAGTTTTAATTTGGATATTGCCGGTGCCTCGCCTTCAAGCAACAAGCACAACATGTTGTGTGCCATTGGAAGTATTATTTCCACACATACGCCTTATAAAAGAAGCTGCGATTCACATTTTAAGGCTTTCGTTTGTGCCGCCTTAAAGTAAGTGGTGTACTTTTATTTTTATTCTGTTATCTGTTACCATTCCTTTGTCAATTTCAGCGCTAACAAATTAGTTCCTTGGTTAAATTTGTTGTTTACATGTAATCAGTTAATTAAAACTCATTATCTTCCATGGAGTTATGTAATGAAGACTGGTAAGATTTTTTTTGTATCCAATCGCAATTGAAAATACAAGGGGTTGTATATTTTTTTAGGTTTTCAAGATAGTTTGAAAAGTTTGGATATGCTAACCAAACACAAGTTCGACTTGCCAGTGGATTTGGCCATAAGACAGTTTCAGAATATTAAAGACGTGTTTACATGATCTTACCGAAAATTTTGTTCTAGTCATTTTGTGTTCTTTAATTAAGTTGTTCTTGTTTGATTAGTTTAAAATTGTTGACTATCAAAATGACATATTTTTATTATCCAATCGTCCACATTCCAAGTTCTTATGGTTCTTATGAATATTGTAAATCTCAATTTTCTCTCAGTATTAAACATGACGAATCTCTATTCAATTTCATCTGTTAACTTGATATGTGTTGTACAATTTGATTGCTGGAAATAAATCGTTTTTTTTCATTTTATTTTTGTTTTGTTGATTTTATAGAAATATAGTACAAGAAGAAATCGTTTTGAAATATTTTCTGTGCATTCCGGATATTAATGTATTGTTTCGATATTATGGGTACCATACCATTAAAAATATGCTCTGAAACTACCAAAGTAAAATTATCAGAGGTAAGATATATTTTAAGGAAATTAAATTCTTTTATTTTAGTATTTTCTAGCACATTCATTTCCAATTTAACAAATTAAAGTGTAAAAAAAGTTTTTTCTTTTGTCTGCCAAGTGCAATTTTGAACTACTATCCATTGCAATATTCAATAAAATACCCTGACGAGAAAAAACAATTAAAAATCTCGATAAATGAACGTGCAATAAATAGCTTTTATTTTTTTATCTCACGCAAGATAATAATTACATTAAAGTTGAAGTTGCGTCCCTACATTTTTAAGAACCTTTTTCATAAAATGATCTGAGGAATCACAACATTTAAATATTGCAGGCTATCTCATCCTTCCCTATCAATTTTCATTTAGTATTAAATATTGCTAATGGAGTACATCGCCCTATAAACTTAAAAATCACATCTAATGCTGCTAATGAGTTACTGCTGACGTCAGTATTCAGTCTGTTCGTAGATCTATAGTGCTCTCTATCGGACGAAGTAGTATCTAGCGCCGATACAGCTACTGAGATGGAAATGAAACCTGTTTGGCTTTATTTGTATCCGAGAGATGTCGCAGAAAATGAAACTGTAGTTTACCACGCCTACCAAACTAAACAGGAATGAAAGAAAAGTGAATCATTTCTTCTTTAAAGCACCATAATAGCTATTTATACGTTTGTCGTACTATGCAATGATTTAAAAGAAATTTCGTTAATGATTCGATGAACCTAGTGTTTTCCGAAGATAAATATTTCGGCTTGAAAGAGTGAATATCGAGTCTAAAACCGCACCTCTTGCTGTTTAGTTATTGTGTTGTTCCGCTAGTATAATCGTTATGAAGAGCGTTTGTTGTATTTAAGATTTTCGGTGAGTTTGATCTTATCTAATCGTGATATGAATGGAGGTAAAACAGGGCGAGCGTTGTACGGATTTGGAACTAAGTGTTGCGATATCTCCAATGTTTAGGTTCTGTTTAATTTACGTTGACATCCAGGTATTTCGTGGATACCTGCAGTAGCTATCAATAGATTCGGAGTAGGTCATAATTGTTTCATATCCGATGTTTTGATTATAAATAAATAATAATTAAATACGCGGACGGAAACTTGTATTTGAAGTGTTTATGCGAAATAATAACGAAAAAGCATTTTTATTTAACAGTGCACCGAGCGTCTACCTACTTACACCCTACATATACATGTAAACATTAACTGGTGTCAATCTGTGGACATTTTGACCGTATGTTATTTTAGTTCAGCATTTAGCAATTTCTCGGCTAGTTTAAAGTTCCATCTCGTTTTATCTACACTAATTTACCACCTACTTTAAATGTAATCTAAAAATGATGTCATCAAATAATTTGATCTAAAGCGAACCGTTGGGGGATATTTGTATATAATGCACGAGCATAATGTCGTTTGTTTTCCTTGAATTTTTGATTTTCTCTTCTGATGTCATCTTTATATTTAATGGAATTTATCTGACTGGGTCCATAAACACAAGTTTTGTGAAATTTGAAACGAACCCGTTTTAAAATAAACCGGACGATAACGCGATATTTTTATAATTAACCAAAAACGGCACACACGTGTTTGCAGATTTAGCCATTTGCTTTTTGAAAAAAGCGTCGTAGAAAGCTATGACAAAAAACTCCCATAACAAAAAACGCTAGATTCTATTTTAAAAATAGATTAATCACAATACGGTGTTTTTTAAAAATAACAGTAATTAATTACATTAATTAAAGGGTTACCAAATTTATTTTCACCTTTGCTACATTGTCTAGACGAACATTTATTTTTATTCAGTAAATAGACGAAACTTTATCCGAGTGGAAATTTCAATTACGTGCTCTCCGAGCTGTTTGATGATTAATTAAAATACGACACCGATATTTCTGACAAATGATCGTTTCCCTATAGGCCAAGAGAGTTTGTCTTTTATTTCGTCACCAAATTATTTTTAGCAAACTTCTCAATCTCCAAAAATTTGAACGTCCAATATTATTCATTTGATTTGCCAGTTTCCGGAATTAGAAATTGTGCCATTTTCGATAATATTTCGTCTCGCCCGTAAGGTGAATGGACTCGTTCAATATAAATGTCTGTCTCCGTTATTTAGGGAGACTAGCGCTATATAAATATTTTTATAAGGGCGCGCTAGTTCTGAAAGTTTAATATGAATATTGTGGTTTTACTACAATCCACATGAAAGTGTTGTTTTTACGTAAATCTTGCGGATAAGTTAATTGTGAACTCATGCAACTAACACCTACTAACGACACTTCAAGGCGATTCAAGAAGATCTACAAGAACAATCGGGTCAATGTCCAGTGGATTGAGCTTCCGACTAGCGACTTCACAAATAAGTTTTTGTTGGTGTTTCATAATTTGATACTTAGGTTTATTTTGTTATATAACTAAATAATTTTGTACAACAATTAACGATATAGTCTGGACCAAATAAACTTTTGATCATGGTATGTCTCAAAAAGAGACTATAACATAACGAAACAATTGAAGATATAGCGACATCTATCTATTTCGATACCTGCGTTTTTTAAAATGTTTAATATACAGGGTGGGGTTAAAAAGTATTTTTATTGCGAAAAAAATATTTTTGTATTTGCATTTCCCGTTGAGTTTAACGTTTCATTTAATTATCTACCATATCGAAAGCTATATTCGCCAAATTGTAAAGTGCGGTATTAAATTGGCACATTACGTTTTCGTGTTATTGTGGTCCATAAAAAAATCTAATTGCGATGTACTCAACGGAGTTATAGCGGTTTAAAAAAAAATGTTGTGGCAATGGGGACCATAAAATAGAAAATAGGTCAAACCTATAATTATTAGCGCCGGTTTTAATCTTTCGTGGATACGTTAATTGATAACAAACAGCGGTACTCTTTTGTTTATAAAAGTGGGATATTCGTTTTTTTTATTTTTGTGGCCTTTGCACAATTGGATCACTTAAACACTAAGAATTTCTTTGCTTTAATTGATAAATTAAGTATTACTAAATATTTTTATTATGTATGGTTAATTTTAATATTAGGTCTTTATTCGATTTGAAGGGTACATTAAAAAAGCACATTAAAGCTGAGTTCAATAATACGTCTCTTTATTTATATAAAAAAAAAACATTTCATTATCACATTTTTTACTACTTATTTCTGGAAAATTAACATCAGCAGCGAATATCTTAAATTTTATTCCATAAATCAATCACAGATATTATATTAATTTGATATTTAGTTATAAATAATTAAACATAGTTTACAAAGGCGAGACAATAAAATTAAATAAACCATGAATTTAAAAAACAATGTCTTTCAATTATATTCGTCTTTATTTCACTGGTTGAAATGTTTATTTTGTACTAACTTTCTTTCAACGTCTCCTTTGTTGGTATCTATTATATATAATGGGATACTGCCTCAAGTTCTGTTGTAAATATCTTTTGTAATCCAACAATAGTCATGCTTCTACAATTGTTATTAAAAACATCATTTATTTATTAAGTGGTGTAGACCATTCACACATTTTATGTCCGCTAAATATCAGCAGGCACTTTCTTAATAGCCGCAATTGACCTTTAATTTATAACGAATATACACCGTTCGAGTTTTAAGAATAAACAAAATTTTAAATATATTCCTGAACAGGCGAAAAAATGTAATTTCTGGTTATAGCAACTCAATAAGCATATTTCTGTAAAATCTTTTGAATTTTGTTGCGCTATGAACTACTTTTTCTGTCGAGAGCTTATAACACTTTCTTTTTTATTTTTAATTTTTTGTTTTGTTTACAGACGAATATAATGAATTTTTCAGCTTTAACGAGTCAAGCTGTAATGATTTGTACTCTCTAAATAACTAAAAAATTGGAATGAAATTAAGGGCCAATTTGATCAATTTTGGATAGTTAATGTTTTTTTGTGTAGTTAACTCTATTTGATTTGTGCTGAATTGTGTTATTTGATGTCTGTGATATCTTAACAAAAAAATAGGGTGGATAATTTAGTTCACTTGTGGCTCCCTGTAAATGTTTAAAGCATTAGAATAATTTTGGGGCGTCACCTTGAGCCCCCGAAAAATTTGATAATATATATTATTTTTTATATTTTACTTTTATAATTTGCACATTTCGGCTAATCTAACTTTAGTCTTTTAGTTACTAAAGTTGCACAAATCTAATAAATGGTAGTACAGTTCACCGCAAATCAAATTAAAAAAAATATGTATATCCAAAATTGTTTCATAATTGATATTTTCTCAAATCTGAGCCCGTTTTGTTTAATTATTTTGATTATTTAGTTTGTTGGGTCAATGAAGTATTAATTAATACAATAATTAATTCAATTTTTTGCGATTAAATAAAAAAGAGAAAGAATGAGTAAATGAAAAGGACAAATATTTCTATAGATGGAAAATTACAGTAATTCGTACAGTTCAAATTTATAATTTAGCTCAGTGAATAAAACGAGAGTCAATTTCGAGAAACAGAAAAAGTGTTCACCTCAACTGACAAAAAATTGTCCCCGCTGAAAGTTAAACTTGAAATCAATATAACGCGACCTGACGTTTTTTGGACTACTTCGTTGATTTTGAATTTGGCACGTACGCGTTATTGGCGGGCACATTTTAAACTAGGAAAATTACCAATTAATTCAATTATGAAATTGTTACAGGATGTACTAAGCGTGGCTGCTCAAAAATGAAGTTCCATTTAGGCAGCCGCATATTTGCGTTTTTCATTTTTCTCGGTTTCTCTTTGGCCAGAGAAGGTAAAAATAAAATGCTTTAATGTTACTCGTTTTCGGTTACCGTATCCGCCATTTTCAGTTCCGTCGCCGCCCTTAATTGTAAAACAACCCCCCACAGATGAAGTATTGTTTCAAGTAGAACAAAGCGGTGAAAACGACAAACCTTTTTATATCGAATGCGAAGCTGAAGGTGAACCAGCACCGAAGTAAGTCGAAAGCTAGAGCTACGGATAATTGCCGGCAATAAATGAACTACATTTTAGATACTATTGGATAAAAAACGGTAAACCATTCGATTGGCAAGCGTACGATGACCGTATATCTCAGCAAACAGGTCGTGGTACTTTGTCAATTGCTAAACCTTCTGAGGTTGACATTGGTCAGTACCAATGTTTTGCGGAAAACCTGTACGGTATAGCGACGTCGAATTCCGTATTTATGAGAAAGGCCGAATTAAATTCGTTTAAGACTCAGCAACCCATTTCGTTAACCGGTAACGAAGGGGAACCCTTTAAATTGACCTGCGAACCACCTGGTATATAATAAGTTATAGCGTATATTTTGGTGGAAAAGATCGAAATAATTTTAGATGGTTGGCCCAAACCTATCGTTCACTGGATTTACTTCTACACCAATGGGGCATTTAAGACGATCAACAGTTCACGGATGACGTTGGATCCAGAAGGGAACCTCTGGTTTTCGAATTTGACCAAAGCCGACAATACGAACGATTTTATGTACGCATGCGCAGCTACATCACCGACCAAATACGAATACAAGTATGGAAATAGAGTTTTGTTAAATGTTGTGTCTACGGGGGTGTCAGCGTCACAATACAAACACGAACCCGTACTGCAGTATGTCACGAGGAAAAATGAGGTGGCCTACAGAGGAAAAAGAGCTGAGCTTTTCTGCATATTTGGCGGGACGTAAGTACAATTAAACACGTCTCGAGATACATATGAAATGAATATTTATAATGAAAAAGCTGCATTAATTTCTAAAAAGCGAAAATGCTGGTACATACATAGGGAATTGGAAGTAGAGTTTAGAAAGATTTTATCTTGTCATTGGAAGTTCTTTCTAATTAAAATAGTGCAATGAAACTTGTAAGGGATAATCATATAATTATTTGAATAAATTATTTTTTATTAAAATAGTGATATGAAACTACATATCATCATTTAAATAAGTCAGTTTTGATTACAATGTTGCACTGACATTTGAATAGGTTATTTTTTATTAAAATGGTGCCACGAAACTTGCAAGGAATAATCGCACCATCACCTAAATAAATTGTATCTGATTAAAATGGTGAAATGAAACTAGTAAGGAGTAATCATATCATCATTTAAATAAGTTAGCGCTGATTACAATGGTGCAATGAAATTTGGAAGGAATAATATTATTTCTGGTTAAAATGGTGCAATGACACTTGTGAGAAATGATGGTATACTCATTTGAATACGTTATTTTTTTTTACTAAAATAGTGCACTAAACTCGTAAGGATAAACTGTATCATCATTTGAATAAATTATTTTTTATTAAAGTAGTGAAATGAGACTAGTAAGGGATAATTATATCATCATTTATATAAGTTAGTTCTGATTACGCTGGTGCAATTTAATTTAGAAGGAATAATCATATCGTCCTTTCAATTTCTGGTTAAATACGAGGGCAGCGCCAAAATTTCCCGGGCTGAATATGAAAGAAGCAAAGTAGAGTAACATTTTTTTATTATTTTTCAATATAATCCCCCTTAACTTCAATACACTTATTATATCTCTTTATTAACAACTTAATCCCTTAAAAAAATATTCTTTTAACTCAACTTCGTCGTTAAACCGCCGTCCACGTAAGTCCTTTTTCAAATGTCCAAACAAATAATAGTCGCTGGGGGCCATATCTGGACAATAGGGAGGATGATCTATCTGTTGCAACCCACACTCTAAAATGGCAGCTTGTGCAACACCAGCAGTATGGACAGGTGCATTATCGTGCAAAAGACGCACGCCTCTGATCAGTTTTCCTCGACATTTTACTCTTATGCAGTCTCGCAATTTATGTAATAATGTTGCGTAATATTTATTATTGACAGTGGTATTAGTTTCTTTAAAATCTATCAAAAGAATTCCTTCACAATCCCAAAAGATCGTGTCCATCACCTTATTTGTTGACTGGCAGACTCTGAATTTTCTTGGAGGTGCTTCACCCTTACGACGCCACTCCATTGATTCTTTTTTCGATAGAGGGTTATAATAGAGAACCATAGTTTCATCTCCCGTTACAATAGTTTCTGTCACAGCCTTCGGTTGCGACCCACAGAGTTCCAAAATAGATCACGCACACTCGACACGGCGTTGTTTTTGAATAGCCGAAAGGTTTTTTAGGAACCCTTCTTGCACTAACCTTATGCATGCCTAAATAATCATCCAGGATTCGACGAACACTTGTATCAGAAAGCTTAGTAATTTCCGAGATTTCCTTGACCTTTAAACGTCGATCACTCAATACCACCTCTACCACGATCGCAACAACGTCTTCCGTTATGACCTCCACTGGTCGACCAGCTCTTGAATCATCTTCAAGGGACTCCTGCCCCATTCGAAAACGTTTTGCCCATTCTTTCACTACAGAATACGAAGGAAAACTTTGGCCATACACAGCATCCAGCCTTTCTTTAATAATTTTAGGTGCTAATCCTTCTTTTGTCAAAAACTTTATGACTGCTCTATACTCAATTTGCGTTATTTGCGACATTTTTTCGGACACGTCTTGTTTAAAATGCTGTCGATAAAAAACTATTTGACGCAAGACTTCAATTTTTTTTTCGCAGCCTACTAAGATATATATTTAAAAGAAGACAAAGTTTTATCGTGATACTGGAGCTGCATCTATGTTAGGCCGGGAAATTTTTGCGCAAACCTCGTAGGTTATTTTTTATTAAAAAGGTGCTATGAAACTTGTAAGGAATAATCATATCATCATTTGAATAAGTTATTTCTTATTAAAATGGTGAAATCAAGCTTGTAAAGAATCATCACATCATCATTTAAGTAAGTTTAGTATTGATTAAAATGGTGCAATGAAACTTGTAAGATATAATCATGAGTTCCATGAAAATCGTTTATAAATAACGGTAGTTTTTAACACATTGTTGTTGTTTTTTTATTATTTTCCATTATTTTTCGACGAAGTAAGCTTTTTCATGAATAAAATCACATGACTTTTTTTGAATGAAGCGTAGTTTAGGCAGAAATAATTTCAAAAAAATAATATATGACCCTGGAGGGTTAAATTTTTCACATAAGGGTCTGATATGTGGTTGTTGTGTTAAATATTTTACCTTCTTAAATCTATCGGTCTGTTGTCTGTGTGACTGAGAAATTTGAAAGAAGGAAACATTTATTATTCGTCGTACCTATTTTATTTAAAAAAAGATCTAATTCACTGGTAGTCAATTTAAATATTTGAAACAATCTTTAATGGTGTTACCTATGACAAAATTGTTTCAAAAAATATTTAAATGACGGGGGTTGGAGGCTGTATTTCAGTAAGGACGTTTTGCCTTCTGTCACGTCGATAATTTTTTTCCAAACAAAAAATCTTTCCATTAGTATTTATTGTAAATATTTAAAAAATTTAAATTAAAAAAAAAGAATTCCGTTCCAATGCAGATAATTTTATTTTTCGTGGCATCTCGCAAATAGGCCACTACCTCAAACAGTCTGGTCGAAAAACGGAAAGATTCTACAATCCTCCGATCGTGTAACGCAAGGAAATTACGGAAAATCGCTAATAATTAAAGTGGTAGATTTTGAAGACGAAGGAGCGTACACCTGCGAAGTTAGTAACGGCGTGGGCGATGCGAAATCTTACTCCATAAACCTCAAAGTATTAGGTACACATCGAAAACGATTAAACTAGCGTTAAAAATATTCAAAAAATACCGTTTTTCAGCTGTACCCTATTTCACTGCCGAACCACAAGTAGTGAACGCAGCGGAAGATGAAACTGCCGAATTCGAATGCAAGGCTTCAGGCGTACCTGAACCGGAAATTAAATGGATTCATAACGGAAAACCGATATCTGAAGCGCCACAAAATCCGCGGCGCAAAATTTACAAAAATAAAATTGTTATCGAACGATTAGTTAAAGGCGATACTGGGAATTACGGCTGCAACGCCACTAATTCCTTAGGCTACGTCTACAAAGACGTCTTCGTAAATGTTATAGGTGGGCAAGTCGCAATTACTCATTAATTGTTCTATTATATATACTTTGGTTTCAGCTCTGGCTCCTGAAATTACCGAACCACCGAAAGATACTGATGCAGTTGATAACCAGAATATTAACATGACCTGTAAGGTCATGGGTGCTCCAAAACCCAATATTAAATGGATTCATAATAATAAAGAGCTTACTGGAGGAAGGTTCAAGGTGCAAGAAAGTGGCGACCTTCTAATTAGTGATGTTCAATTTGACGACAAAGGCAACTATACTTGTTACGCGGAAAATAAACTCGGGAAAACAAGTGCCAATGCCAAACTCGATGTTAAAGGTATTTATCAAAAATTTGCGTCAGATTTGTTCCTCCCTGGTCTTGTTAAATACTTGGATACTAATGTTCATTACTAGAATTGAATTATTCTTATTAAGTGCTATTTTGAAAACATAACTGCAAAATTGTTTATTTTCTTTTTTTTTGAGAACTCGTTTCAAGAAAAAATGATCCAAAGATTCTAGGTTAGTCCGCCCGCAGAGGCGTAACGTTGTGAAGTTGTTAAAAAATAAAAAATACGTTAGTTTAAATTTGCCATCTATTTTCCAATTAAATTAAAAAATAATAATATTAAAATATAGTTACATTTTGGATGAAGGGTTATTTTTTTGTAATGTATATTTTTTGTTTAGCTTAAGTTTTTTGTTTTTTTTATTATTATCTTATTATCTTCTAAAATTTTCGTCTATATTATGACAAATGCGCGATAATTAGGCACAGTTACGTTTTATTTAAAAATCTATCTCAACAGATACATTAATTACATTAATACATTTACTACACTCACAATGTTTTTTCGGCGGGTGTCGGCAAGTATGTTAAAAAAAATTAAAAACCGTGTTTGCAAGGGTCCAAGAAAAAAATCATTTCTCGAAACCCCTTTATCAAACCTCAAAAAAATCTTCAAACGAAAGACTTAGAAGATTCGGCCCCAAAAACTTTTATTCTTGACAAAAAACTGAAATTGAAGAAAATTGACTATAACTAAAAGACTATATTTAAGATGTTAATTCCTTTCACATGACAATATAGCCCGCATAAATAGCTAAAACTTTTGTATTTAAGGTTATCGATATTTCGTGTAATAATAAAAAACGTAATAGGTGTCCTAAATTTGCAGCTACCAACTTCAGATTTGCAGATAAGTGGAAGTCCAGACCATACATAAATTATTAAAGTTGGAGGCAATTAAGCACCGCAAAGTATTTTTTTAATTCTGGTTTTTTGGGTTTCTGAAAAAAAAAATATTTTCTCCAAAACTTTTAACCCAATCGGCAAAATTATTTAATCGACAGACGCTGAAGATCCAGTACTATAACTTTTATTTCAAGCGTTTTTTCGATTATATACATGGTTTTTGAATTATGGACAAAAATGTAAAAGACCCTGAAAATTGCCCTTTTTCTGCATTTACTATTTTCGTCATCACTTACGCTGCTCGAGATATTTGAAAAAATCCATAGGAAAATCGCTATTTCTCGCACTCTATCTAGACGCGATGACGTCATTTACTATTACGACTTACTGCATGCTTTCAGAAATCAAGTAGCTTCTCGAAAACCAGTCACCCTATTGAAAAAATTGATATACCAGGAAAAGCGGGAGATCCAGGGCTAGATCCTCTATATCGAAAATTGTTTGAATTATATACAGGGTGTGTCGATTATGGACAGAAAATCAAAAAGTTTCTTAAAATTTTCGTTAAAATTTCTGTTATGGATAAGATAATTATCTTTTGAACAGTATCGTTAATTGTGTCGAGACAGAGAGAGTTTCAGGTTTCGCCTATCATACAGGGCACGCAAGATAATCGAAAAAATATCATATTATTAAACCGCAATCACCTGTACAAATTTTGATATTTAAGAAAGTTTGCCGTAACTTTGAAGTTTCGCGAGACGTGCAAGACATTTTATACTTCGATAACATCGATTTTGCGAAAGTTTCATAGTGGTTCGCAGGAGCACGATAGAGAAACAAGGCGTCCCTCTAGGACAAGAAACCGCGAAGCACCTTCTTTTTAAATAAAAAGCTGCTTCGCGCTACGCGCTACGAACTTGACCCGCCCAGTGATGATTTTTCGAAACCAATCTTGTTTTTTGTTTTGTATTTAGAGGCATTTAAATCCCATTTAACTAATAAGTCTTTAGAGGGCACCTTCTCTCTTGGTACCGACTATAGCCAGGTTTCTTTTAATGCTTTTTGCGACATAAGGGCCCAATTAGTGATATACTCCTAACAAACTTTTTCCAAACAACTTATTATTGAGCACTGCCACATATATCAGCCGACACTGTTTTGTCCCTTTTGAATAAATTATTGGTTGCTGGGTCTACCTAGTAACAATAGGCACGATGACCTTTTGAGGGAAAAGTCAAGACTTTGAGACGCATTTTAGATCCCGCTTTCGAAATTTGAAATCCATTGAAACAAATCTAATTATTTTTTGCCTCTTTTTATATAGAAACTTAGAACTTAAGGTGTTGATTTTTTTGAAATTCTGCAGCACACACGTATATTACCGATGGCCCTGAGGACTACGAGGTGGAGTCTGGTACTCCTGCAACCTTTAGGTGCAACGCCGTAGCCGACGAATCATTAGACTTGGATATAATATGGCTTAAAAACGGGCAAGCAATAGATTTCGAAGCAGAACCGCGTTTCGTCAAGTCATCGGATTATTCTCTCACCATAACGAAAACTATTGAGCTGGATTCCGGCACTTATACGTGTTTAGCCAAAACCGATTTGGACGAAGCTTCCGCGCAGGCGCAGCTTATAGTCCAAGACATACCGAATCCTCCCGGAGATATATCGGTACAATGCAACCCTAAAGACGCTACAATTCATTGGTCGCCTAAAGGCGACAATCGAGCTCCGATTTTACATTATATCATACAATATAATACGAGCTTTACTCCGGATTCGTGGGAAGTAGCGTACGACAGCGTTCCGGCAGCAGATACCACTTATACCGTGCCAATGAGTCCTTGGTCGAATTACACTTTCCGTGTGATCGCGGTGAATAAGATCGGTAGGTCTTTGCCGTCACCTCATTCGGAAGTATGTACCACAGGCAAAGAAGTGCCGCATAAAAACCCAGATAACGTTGTTGGTGAAGGTGATAAACCTGACAATCTGGTGATAACGTGGACACCGATGCCTCAAATCGAGCACAACGCTCCGGGTTTCCGGTATAGAGTATCGTGGAAACGGGAAAATACAGGTCAACAATATGCGGCTATCGAAATCAACGATTGGAGAATAGGAAAATATGTCGTCTCTGGCCAGCCGTCTTTTAAACAGTACAGGATAAAAGTAGAAGCGTTAAACGATGAGGGCGTGGCCAACGTGGCGCCACAAGAAGTGATCGGGTTTTCGGGTGAGAGTGAACCCACGGAGGCCCCCAAAAATTTTACGGTGTTAAACGTCCAAGGTCCTACAATCGCTCTCTTAAGCTGGATCCCTGTGTCGTTGGACTCGGTTAATGGTGACGAAACTTTTCTCGATAGGATTTTCAAAGTTATCGACTAGTATCTCATTTTAGGGCATTTCAAGGGCTACAAAATACGCACGTGGAGTGACGAGTCTCCGATACAAAACGAGATTCAAGTGCAAGGCGGTAGTGCCAAAGCGTTAGTTAATAATTTCGTTCCAAACACTAAAAATTACGCGCAAGTATACGTGTATAACGGCAAATACAACGGACCACCTAGCGAAACTTTGAGCTTCCACACACCAGAAGGTGTGCCGGGGGAAATGGACTACTTGGAAGCGATACCTTTGGGTTCTTCGGCGTTTATGTTGAAATGGGAGAAGCCCGACAGGCCGAACGGGAATCTTACGGGATACAACGTCTATTTCGCTGAAGTGGAGACTAGTATGAAGGTTGGACGACCAATTCCTAGAACCCCACAGATTACGGACCCTAATATTACGCGTGCAAAACTTGCGGGTATGCTTTATTTTTGTTATTTTTGATTGATAAAGAAAACCACATTCAATTGCTTCAGTTTTGTTACGTGTAGGAAGTTATCATTACCACTCGTAAATTTTTAGTGAATAGCTCAATTTTTTAGTAAAAGCATGAAATTGTGCTAGTGCTAACCTGAGGCTGCAATTAGCATTGGCACCCTCATAACTCTAATTTTTTGGGTTTGTCATAAAGTAGAAAAAAAGTCACTCATTGTTAACTTCATGCAGAAGTTTGCATTACCACACTTAAAACTCGCACTTTTTGAATATTTAGTTTATGGATGAGGTATAAATATGTATTTTGCTCATAAATTTCAAAACCTAATCCCTGGTAATGCTAATTTTTTATTTTTATTTATTATTTTGTTTATTTAATTTTAATAACAAAAAAACACATTTTCGTAATGGTGGAAAGTTCTATTAATTCCTTTGAGCCATTTTCAGAGTTTCATAAATGAACCATTTGATTCTTAGTCGTCTAGTATAGGTAATGTTAGTAATGGTAAGCATTACCAGTGAGGCGTACAAAATATTCAAACAGGACATGTTTTCAGGGTCGTAATGCATGACATTAACATTACCAGGGATTTTTTTTAAACGCGGCGCTTTTTATTACGACATATATAAACTATTAAAAATTTACTAACTTCCTATAGGGAAAAAAAATTCGCAGATTTCTAAGTGATTTTAAGTATTTTTCCGACCCTAAAAATTTCTGCCGTAAATAAACAACTATTAAAATAAAAAAAAAACGCTTAAAAATTCTTTTCAAAAATTTAATTTATTTTTTCTTCCTCTTCAGCTTTAACTAATTCATTACTTCATAGAAAAGGGCACATTTAACGCATTTAGTGATGAATTTCGATAATTGTTTGACAAAAACATCGTTTTTTTTTCTATATCTTATAACCTTAAAAATGCCAAATCAGTTTGTTGAATTCCAATATCTTAAAATTGGTTAGGAGGTGCAATCAAGCATCATAGCTTAAACGCAATCATGAAAATAGTTTTTGGGTGTCATTCCGGCACAATATCCCTAGTTGGGAAACAAAATGAATGGCTGCGAAAGCGGTGTTTCTATTTTGTATATTCCGTTTTTCAGGTCTAAAACCTGGTACAAAATATAGGATTTATATCAGTGCTACGACTCGAGCAGGCGAATCAAAACGTTATTTTATCGAAAAAACCACCAAACCACCGGGCTTCCATAAACCGTCGCCACCAAAATTTCGTTGGGAGTTGATTAAGGAAGACGATAAGCCTGCGGTAAGTACATTAGATTCGAAACGTCGCTTCGGTTGGATTATGAAATTGGAGGCTTGATCGTAGGTGAGAGTGATTTGGGAACCAAGCGAAGATGGCAGGCCCGGTTCACATTTTTATGTAAAATACAAAAAGAAGGGAGAAACTCAGTATTTACACACCCCGCACCAAAAAGTGAACGACACACAAGATGTTCTCGGCCTAGAAGGTGGCGAAACGTATGATTTTGTAGTTACGTCAGTTGATGGTGATTATGAAGCGGATAGTGACGTTCAAGAGGTATCGACCAACGATGGGGTCATTAAAAAGAAGCAACCGGTCGCTACTGCCGGATGGTTTATTGGGATGATGTTGGCGATCGTGTTCTTGCTCCTGGTACTGATTATTGTTTGCATCGTGAAAAGAAATCGCGGTGGCAAATATGCCGTTCACGAAAGGGAACAAGCTAATGGACGACACGATTATCCCGACGAAGGTGGATTTCATGAATATTCTCAACCGTATGTGTTATAAAATTTTGTTTATCCATGGTGATAACTGTATTTTTCTTCAGGCTAGATAATAAATCGCATGGAAGAGCTTCAATGAGTAGCGAACCAAAAGCGGGACCAGAAAGCGACACCGACTCAATGGCTGAATACGGAGACGGTGATACAGGTAGGGCTAAGTATTAAAGAAGTTCAAATGAACATTAAAAGGTTAACCTCAACTGTTTTAAAATTACCTTCCAAGGTTTATGATTTTACTTTTATTTAATTATTGTTTAATTCGTGTAGAGGGTATGAACGAAGACGGTTCATTCATTGGCCAATATGGCCGAAAAAGGGGTCAAGGTGAAACAACTTCGCAAGGTTTTGCGACATTGGTTTGATGTGTAAGAGTTTTTTTTTAGTTTTGTTTCTTTGGCTCGTTTTCTAGCGCTTCAGCTTACTAACAGAATTTAATTTAATACTGGTCATATTAACAAGTCATGACTTGTTTAAGGGGGGTGGGGGACAGGTCGAATGGGCAAGTTCCCAGAACCGATCTCGTAGTATAGCCAAAAATTTACAGATGGCCATTTGAGGAAATTTTAAAAGGTTTTAAAAACATTTTTTGGGACTGATGAAGAGTTGTAGATGTAAAGACATTTGGATTTTGGATTTTCTTTTAACCGGTCAATTAAAAAATCTGATCCACAACACAATATATATATATATATATATATATATATATATATATATATATATATATATATATATATATATATATATATATATATATATATATATATATATATATATATATATTCTCACGTATTGATTCACGGATGGAAAAATGTGATGACACTATATTCCGGGATATCATCCGTTCGCTCGTTGAACTCCGACTGGAATCCTGCATCCGACTGGAATCCTGCAAATCTTGCATCCGACTGGAATCCTGCAGACGTTTTGCCAAAATCTCACTTGGCATCTTCAATGCTCGCGCTCCGAAAACACTTATATATATATATATATATATATATATATATATATATATATATATATATATATATATATATATATATATATATATATATATATATATATATATATATATATATATATATATATATATATATATATATATAGACAAACTTATGTTTTTATATTAAAATTTTTTCGAATAATTTTTTAACGTTTTTTTGGATTCATTAAAAATAAAGTTGTCAGAGAAATTATGTATTTAAACAATAAAAACATTATTTACTTAGATTTTTTCCTTAAAACAGTAGTTAGGAGTTGCAGGGGAGGATAATTAGCATGCCCCCAAAGACAAGTGACAAAAAAGAGCCATATAACCATTGTTGAAGACTATTTTTTATAAATAATAAACAGGAGAATTACCTTTACTTCCCTCTGCGATCTTTGAGCACCTGTGAAATAGATCCATAAATCTCTCAGGCTTGACCGTAACTAAAGCATGTGTGAAGTAGGGGTTTTTGTGATAAGGGTAGGGCAACTTGGCCTTGGCACACAGTGATAATGGGTGTTGGAGTTTAACCATTTGCAGTAGTTAATTTAAACCGAAGCTAAAAGGTTTCATTTGACATTTTAGGACGTTTCACTGAAGATGGCTCATTTATTGGTCAATACGTGCCGAGTAATATGAAGCAGATCGGAGCACCAACACCTGGTGCCAATAATAATGCAATGGCAACTTACGTTTAGACAAATTATCTTCGAACTTTAGCTTTTCAGTGTGGTGTCTTATCTCTAACTGTCTCTCTATGAACTTTACATTATTTATAAATGTAGTACTGCCGTTTTGGAGAAGTACGTTATTTCGCATTCGTCCATTTGTTTTAAATAGGTTGTAACATTCGCTAATCAAAATATGAATTTAATATATATAGTAATATATTTTGTTGTTCGTTGCAGTTTAAAAATATGACTCTCTATTTATTTTTAAATTGTGATGCTTTTGTTAGAAACGAAGCGCCGATTTTCTTGTGTTTTTTATTGTATTATACTTTATAGTGTTTATAATATTAAGTTTAAACATTTAAACTAGGTCGGCTTAGGATAAAACAAATAGTTTGGGTAAGCGCAAATGCGGAAGTCTGAAATGAGGCTATTCACCGGACTGTGATCTTTTATTTATAATAAACCATTCACATCCTAAGCCTCATCCATGCTTTCGAATTGCTGGAATAGTTCCGAGCGATTATTTTTTTCTTTCTTCGACTGATTTCGAATTTCTTTTATGCCATTTGTTTTCCCCTAATGCCTCGATTATTATAAGTGTAAAAAGTTATAGGCATAATTTATGCTTAGTAGGTATAGATTGGGTAGGTAGTTTTCGAGTTTTGTTTCGCTTAGAATCCTTTCGAATAATTTTTATACGTTTTTTGTATTCAGACACTGCCTAACGACTTAAAAACAAAGTTGTCGTCATAATTCGTTACTCAAGTATTTTTATTTTGAAAATTAGAAAAGTAGATTTTTAAATTCTGGCGACGCAAGGTTTGTATATTTCTGCGGTACACCTAGAATAAACCTAGATTTTGTTAGCTCAAGATAATCGTCACATCACAAGCAGTAAAACAGTATTTTTTAAAATTCAAAATTTAGAGAAATATTATATTGTACATTTTACGCCTAGTCACTACTAAAGCGAGTAATTTCAACTTGGCAAGTCTCCAAAAACTTTACTTAGTTACTCAGTTTTCTTTTCAACGGCAGAAATTTAGATGCTAAAATAAAATATCCTTTTTTTGCTTTTGCTTTTTGAATTCCTAATTGTTCATTGGGATGTTTTAAGTGGCCTTCGATAATACCTTTATTTGCACATTGAATTACCGGTTTTAGAGGTTGATAAAAAACTCACGATTAAGGTAAGGAAAATAATATTTTTGGAACGAAAATTTTTTTAATTGAAAAGGAATCCGAGGTATGTGAATCTGTGTCAATTTCTTGAAATTTAAGCTTTCTGTCAAACGGGGTGTGGTGCTAGATATTCATCGTTAAATCTTTGTTGCGTGTTTGTTGCTTGTTACTGTATTTGCTGCATTATCAATTTGTATAGGGTGTTTGTTCTCTATAAACCTCGAGCAACTAACCATGTAGGAGCTAATTCACTGTAATGAACACCCTGTATAATCTGTGAGCAAAAGTATAGAGTGGATACCCTTCTGATGTTTCCTTTAACATTTTAAATGAGTTGAGCTTTTCTACGATACGAGTTGTTTCAATCATGTTAATATGGTTCACAGGGTATATTCCTAGTAGACGTGCAATGAGAGTTCTGAACCAAACGTCCCGTTATAGACAAAGGGGGATTTCAAATGAACTACTCTATTTCTGCTACTTATTCAATGTAATTCAGATTTGGGTTTGTACATTTGCTGACAGATCGAAACCAAATAGAAATTTAAATGAATATACACTTAAATATATCTATGTTCTCTGAATTTGAGCTTTTTTAAATTACTAGATAGTCAGCTTTTGTATGTGCACAGCATATAAAAAAAGTTTTTGTTATAAGCAGCACTTTTTCGGCTATCGAAAACTGTTTAACCTTTTTGGACTATTTGCACTGCCATTGTTAATGATGCTGCAAGAAGGCCATAAGCGCTAAGCAGGGAAAGTTTAATAAAAATAATGCACTGTTGGGTATTAGGTAAGGTTCTGACGAAAAATATATTTAATCAATTAAAATGACATAATACTGCTTTACTACTATTTCCAAATCAAGTTAGGATATTTTTTTATTATGTACAGACGACGCGTTTTGGAATGCGTTTGACCTGTATTAAATAGCATAATTTCTGATGTATTATAAAATGTTTCATTTCTGGTGTAAATTTTTTAGTTAGTATTGGTATGGTGCCTACAAATCTGATCCATCCCAGATACTTTAGTTTTCTTGTATCAATTCGCCCCACTTAGTTCGTAGATTTTTTATATGAATCCGTTCAAAGATGTGTTTTCTTTTTTTGCTCTAATAAACATTCAAACTGTCCGTAATTGCTCTTTCATTTTCTAACTAATTCCAAGTATTATTATTAACCTTGGTCATTTCGGTCAATATAAAAGTATCTTCTGATGGTTACTACTAAAAGATATTTGAAAAATAAAGGAAAACTGGATTTAAAAAAGGAATTATCAGGGAGTCTGTAAGTTGGGTAAATGTCATTGAGATGGGACCATGATTGTGAAATATTGAAACAAAAAACTAATTTTGGACATATTTTTTATATGAATGCCAACATAAAAGTGTTTTCTGATGGTTACTAGTAATGGTAATAAAGGATCTCCTGAAAAATACAGGAATGCATGATGAAAACTGGATTTAAAAATGGGTAAATGTCAGAGGTGGGATCATGATTGCGAAATATTAGAAAAAAACCTAATTTGGAATACATGTTTAATAGAGTAAAAAAATATCACTAAACAATACATTTTATATAAAAAGCTTTAATTCACGATCACGTTACCAAATATATAAAAGATAAAGTCAAGCTGCTAAACAATAGTTGCGTAAATGAATTAGAAACGAAGTTTTTTAAAAAAAAATGTACAGTCTGTAATTTTTATCTAACATTTTTATTATTTTCGAATTGAGACATCAATATTTAATTATATCAAAATTTCACTGCACCTCCCTAAAATGTGATGAATATCAGTCAGTAAAGATTACAATTTACTGTCACTGGTATGTCGTGGGTTTGGGTAATGATCACATTCTAAAGAAGTAAGTCTACATGTACAAGAGTTAAATTGAAAAATAAGTCTCTAAACACAATCTAATATCGATGAATGTATGCTTAATTATAAACACTTTTATAAACCTGATATAATTATCTTATGCACATTTCATATATTTACAAAAGGAAACACAAAAATAGATACCAATAACAAGTTTTGCATAACATTTTTGGTGAAATTTTAATGACAACAAAAAGTCGGTATAGTTGATTTGTTCATACTGTTAAGATGAAAAAACCTCATCCCTTCTCTTAGAGACTTGTTCTTTACTAAAAAAAAGTTTCACGTTCCTTGCGCAATACTTTTCTAGTAGTCCTATTGTTTCATGGACTAGTGATGATGGTTCAAATTGCCGAGCAAAACGTTTACGGTGTAAAACTAATATCGCTTACGAGAGTATCTATAACGAAACCGAAATCGTAATTCTTACACTATTAGGGAAAAATAATTCACCCAGTGTTAATTTATATATACCAAGATTTTGGACATTTCTCACACAACCTTTGTCTGGTAATTGGACAGATTCACCAAATTACTGGATGGTGGACAAATCGAAACCAATGAAATTCTTAGGTGTTGCACGAACTAATAATGGGAGGCTCAAAAGTCGAATTGAACATCAGTCGAATACACATATAATCAATATTTATTAAACTCTATTTAAAAACTAGGCTAACCGGACCGAACGAAAGTGCGCTACTACAATGTTGCGTCACAAGTTGAAACACTGTCCACTTCACGTCCCATCAGCATAGCGAGGCACTCAGGAAGGAAACTAGTGACCGCTGGAGGGGGTAAGTACTCATCCAAGTAACAGTCACCTGATCATGCGCCATATCACAGAATAACACGCTCAAACGCACACACATGCTTTTTGAAATCAGATCTCTCCATTCGCTGACGATCTGCTGGACGAATCCAAACCAGTAATAGTTTTACGTAAAAGAGATTCACCGTAGAGAGCTGTAATTGCAAAGTAGCTGCTACTTGAGATTCATCAGAGCTGCACCAGTTCATTTACCCTCGGTTATTGAGATTACAACTGAAAATTACGATTTATCAACTTAATATCAAACATAATCGAACATAACGCTAGTAAAAAAAGCATGTGTGTGTCAATTGCGCTTGGAATCAGGGCGCCAAAGTTTGAGGCAGCAGCGGATCAGGTGACTCATGAGGTCAGCAACCAGACGTTTCCTGATCGCCCAAAGTGTACGCAACGCTTTCCAATTTTTGAGGCAGATGTTGCCGCCAACACTGTGGGTCTATCGATAGCGCCTCTAAGATCTGCAAGAGTTAGGTGCCACGTGTCAATTTATTAGTAGTTACGAGTTTGTAAACTATACAAAAGACAGGGAGGGACTTGGGAGAAAATTAGTCCAGCTGGCAATATGCCTCAAGCGCGATTAAATAACGTGACACAAATGATTTTTTTACAAAAAAGACAGGGAGGATTTGGGTGAAAATTAATCAAGCTAGCTAAAGATTAAATTGCTAAAGATGAGTTGAGTAAAAGTGAGGTGAGAAAAGTTTAGGGTTGGAACAGGGCGGGAACAACATACGGGGACTTTTAAATATGCGGAGTTAAACCACGTGACACAAATCATTTTATGACAAAAAGGCAGGGAAGAAAATTCGTCGGCCTAGAGAGTGATAAATTGCTAAAGTGGCTAAAGCTATAGTTGAGGGTTGTAAAATGGAGGAAACAACATACGCGGAATGTTAAATATGCACCAAACGGAGTTAAAGGAATAAATCATTTGCTGGAAAAATTTATTTTTTTTCTTTGATAAGTACTTTTAGTTGCTAAATCAGAAAAAAAAAACGAATCAGTAGTTTACAATTTTTTTGTCAATTCGGAAAGTCGTGAAGATGCCTTCATAACTTGAATATGAGACAACTTCGCCAATTTTGAAATAAAATTATTATAAATAAACAAAAAATAATGGCAGAACCAGAGGATATTCTGCGCTTGTACGCGATAAAATTCCTATTTTGAAATAATTATAATTAATTATATACTATTCTACTATTCTGTTCTATAGATTGGAGAAAAATAAGTAGATGTTTAAGTGGTTTTAAATGGGTTATGTATTAGATGTCATCTTTTATTTTTCATTTATTTTTTGTTTTACCCTGTTTGGCAGGATGTTGCAATTGTTCGGTTATAGTTTGGAAATGGTTTTTGTCCAATTGTTTTTAAATTTTTGGATAAAATTAGCTCCTGGTTCTGTGACCTAGGGTCACTGGGTAGTTCAATTTTATTTATTTTCTTGCCCTAAACTTATTTTATGGGGATATTTTAAATTTTCTAGACAAAAACGAAATTTTTAATATGCCACAAAAGGGACTTTTGTTATAAGTAAAAAATACTGATTTTGCAGTTATTTGAAGTTTTAGCCAGTAATGCCGTTCGATAATTTTTCAAAAACAAAATCCATAGGCTACTGTGATACTATTTACAAATCTCCTGGATTCCTTTACTGAACAGTTTAAGCAAGCAAACGTCAGTAAGTTCGATTCTGGAATCGCAGAAGATTTTACTTTACTTTACTATAAGTAATTTTCATTCAAACTCCGCAGTCAGCTCTTATGCCCGCGGTATATTTTTAAGGCCTCAATTTCATTTAGGCATCTTGAACCGTTTCAGAAACAACAATAATAATTTTCACATATTAACACCACATTAGCAATTAAAACAAATTTATTTTTTAGTAGAAAATATAGATGTAGAAATTAGGGAAACTTTTTTTGAAGCACCCTATATTTATATCGGTTGCTACATTTAATGCACATTTACAAGGGGAAGCCTTGGGGATAGGAGATCCATGCAAAAAGCGAGTCAGAATAAATTAATAAAGACGGCAGCACATGAAAAACCCAACAAAGGGATTTTCAAACTTTCAAAAGGGTTTTAAAGGCTATAAAAGTGACGAAAAACTGTACTCACGGGTTCTCTATATTTAGTTACATAGATATAGAGCTCCTTCAACGCTGAAAAAGTGTCGAATTCTTCGACTTGCTGGGCGGATAGTTGTTGCATCGCCGATCCCATTTCCTGGTCGGTAATCACGGGCAACATGGCCACATCCGCGTAAAATTGCGACACCATCTCCCTGTACCTCGGGATGTCCTATTAAAAACGCGTTAGAAAAAAATCGCACATACACTTCGCATCAAAATTAAGGCACCACGAAAGTTTGGGTCAATTCTCAAGTTTGAATATCTACATATTTCTTCCTTGTTACTTGAATCTTCAAAAATGATGTTACAAAAGACGTTTTAGGCATACTCACACTCAATATTTGTCATATTCCAGTCGATACTTTTAGGTGTCTGTTATTTTATTTTTTTATTCACGGTTTTATCACCGATATTACATGAAATGCGGAATTTAATGTCAAACGTAACAATTACAGTTCATTACAAAAAAAATAAAATAAAATAAACTCATAAACAGTAAGCAAATAAAAAGTCAAGAACAGAAACGACATCACTCTTTAATATTGTCGTGGCCTGTGGAGATATAATAAAGATCATATCGCTCATTTCATGTTCAATGGAGGGTAAAATGTTAATCTTAATATTGTTCAATTGAGTATAAAACAGGATTTTCACTCTCTAAAGGGTGGGTGAATCAACGAGAGAGTAAGTTCATTATCTCATTGGTTAAAAAAGTTATGAAAAATTGGTAAAGGATGCACAATTTCAAATTATTTTAAAGCATACAGGGTGGCTCAAAAAAGCGTAACGAATCTAAAAAAAATGTTTTGAATTCCTTTTAAAATTTTCCATTTTTTGAAATAATAATAATACATAGTTAAGCCTAATAGTTCTTTGAATATTTTGTTTTTTAAAAAAATTTTACACTCGCAAAAAATTACGATACGGCCGGACGTATTTATGGGCAAAACGTTTTCGAATGGGGCAGGAGTCCCTTGAAGATGATTCAAGAGCTGGTCGACCAGTGGAGGTCATAACGGAAGATATTGTTGCGATTGTGGAAGAGGTGGTATTGAGTGATCGACGTTTGAAAGTCAAGGAAATCTCAGAAATTACTAAGCTTTCTGATACAAGTGTTCGTGGAATCCTGGATGATCATTTAGGCATGCATAAGGTTAGTGCAAGAAGGGTTCCTAAAAACCTTTCGGATATTCAAAAACAACACCGTGTCGAGTGTGCGCGGTCTTTTTTGGAACTCTGTGGGTCGGAACCGAAGCCTGTGATAGAAACTATTGTGACGGAAGATGAAACTATGGTTCTCTATTATGACTCTCTATCGAAAAAAGAATCAATGGAGTGGCGTCGTAAGGGTTAAGCACCTCCAAGAAAATTCAGTCTGCCAGTCAACAAAAAATCTTTTGGGATTGTCAAGGAATTCTTTTGATAGATTTTAAAGAAAGTAATACCACTGTCAATGGTAAATATTACACAACATTATTACATAAATTGCGAAACTGCATAAGTGTAAAACGTCGAGGAAAACTGACCAGAGGCGTGCGTCTTTTGCACGATAATGCACCTGTCCATACTGCTCGTGTTGCACAAGCTGCCATTTTAAAGTGTGGGTTCGAACAGATAGATCATCCTCCCTATGGTCCAGATATAATCCCCAGCGACTATTATTTCTTTGGATATTTGAAAACTTACGTGGACAGCAATTTAACGACGAAGTTGTTTTAGCTCATTTTGCAGACAAACCAAAAGAATATTTTTTTAAAGGGATTGAGTTGTTAATAAAGATATATAATAAGTGTATTGGTGTTAAGGGGGATTATATTGAAAAATAATAAAAAAATGTTACTCTACTTTGTTTCTTTCATATTCAGGCCGGGAAATTTTGGCGCTGCCCTCGTATATTGTGTGCCATTTGAGAAAATCGAGATTTGTCATTTTAAAATGATCCAAATATATTCATTTATTTTTACCACCCTGTGACATGTAGTTCATATTCCGTTGCCTATATTTTATACATCATCTTTGAGCAAAATATTAGATAAACGAAACTTAAAGACAGGGTATTCCATTTAAAAAAAATGTATGTTTCATTCGTTGCGCTTTTTTGAACCACCTTGTATACTTCAAAGTAATTTTGAGTTGTGCATCCTAACAACCTTTACAAGGTTCGTATTTATATTTTTTTCATAACTTTTGAAACCAATGAAATAATGTACAAAGTACAATGCAGGTAAAAATTTTAATGTTAACGGCGTCGAATGGAGCATAAAACTGGATTTTCACTCTGTAGATGTCTAAAACCAAGCAAACGGATTAAAAATTTTTCGAAAAAATTAACTTCGAAGTTGACCCACTTTTGAGTGGTCCGTTAATTTGGACGCGAAGTGTAATTCGAGTTAAACATGACGAACCTTGGCGAACAGCAGCTTGTTGGACGGCGAATCCTTACCCAGACGATGTTCGGTCGTCGAACATGCGTCCATGAACGTTTGCGCGATTACCGATAAACACGAATCCAACGTTGTCGTTTTGTTAATGTCGAAAATGAAATCGGGATTTTTGATGAAATTCACCCAAAATCTTAAAGGAAGACTGTTTGATTTCCACGCGTGCACCACTTCCGGATCAGTGATGCCGTGTTTACCGGCCGCTTCGTCCAACAAATCGAAAAGCCATTTAACTGCCGGAGGCAGCGCGTCGTTAACTGTCAAAATTGTCATGAAAAAATCGTCGACGAATTTCTGGATCGTTCCTTTTGTCGATAACAGCCGCGTCAAGAATATCTCGGGGATGGCTTTGTGCGTCCTTTCGGATATTTTATTGTAAGGGTATTGGTGATCGTCCATCGGTTTTACCAAATGGAATATTCTCGGGTTGCTAGGAGCCTCGATGTCGCCGTTGGTGGTTAAAATAGGGGTTTGAGAATTGTTCAAGTATAGTCCGGTTACGCAGTTGTGGCACGGCTGTTTGCAGTTGTTGTAACTGTCGTTTTGCCTGGAAATTAACGACATTACCGCGCTCTCCTTCACTCCGTAATGGGCCAGTGTGTTCAGTTTCTTCCATCCGCCGAGCATTTTCGTGGTTAAATCTTCGTCTTGCAACGTCAAATGCCCGCCCCTACCGTGACGCCATTCTAAGGTGAAGCAAAGACGATATAAGTGTCGTACGATAGATGGCACTGGCTGACACTTACCCAGATCCACTTCGTATATAGACGGTCTTAATGAAAATGGGGTATTTTTGAATAACGCATCGAGGATTTTTGATTTTACTTGGCTAATAGTATCACAGTCCAATACTTTACACTGGATTTTTTCATCTAAATCGTCTTGGACAATGTGCAAAGTCTGTAAAATTAATTGAAGTCTCAATCTCAAGTCTCTCACTCATGTCAGAATGTTATAAAATGCTCAACAGAGAAGTTACCGTGCCTTATTACTTGAGTTCGGCATATTTAAGTGGTCCAAAAGATACACATTTAACATGAAAACTATCTTTAGAACCAGCCAGTCTTGACAATTGATACATATTACAATCAATATCAAAGCAAAATAGACATATTTAGCAATATAAAAGCACTGTTTTGCTGAAATTTTACAAAATGTATTAAAGAACGTTCCTTTTTCTGATGGAGTCGGGATATTGAAAGTAACAGCAGGTAGATTTTAAGATAGCTTTTAAGTTATTTTATAAAGATACTTGCAACTTGTTATTGCGGAATCATCCTGCCTGCAAGTTGAACTTTTAAAAAAATAAAAGTTGAAAATTTTCGAAAATTAACGTAAATAGTGAAACCTGGTGTACCCGCTAAGTGAATAACGTGAAATCGGTGACATCTTTGTGAAACCATAACGTTTTTTTTTAATAAAATTTTGAGCACTTTCTAGAAATTAAATTATCTTTAGACAATAAACAAAGTGACCTTAAATTTTTTTATGTTATTTGGATGTGTGACTTTTGGTTTGTCGTAACCATTTAAAAAAAAAATAAACTTCATTATTGAAATATTTCGTTTGCATTTTTTGGAGTTATATAAAAGGAAAACATTTATTCTGGGATATCAGTTGTTCAAGTTCAACAATAAAATCACTTAAATAAATGTGCTATTTCTCTGAAGAAAATCAGTTAATTGATATTAATAATTAAATATAAAAAAAATTAAACAGAAAAAAAATGATATTAATTGATATTAATAATTAAATGTAAAAAAAAAATTAAATAGAAAAAAAAAACAAAAACATTTTTTTTCAACTTTTTAAAAAGAAAGTTTAACGGTATTTTTTATGTTGTAAATATGAAATTTTTTTAATTACGAAGGAATATAAAAATAACCCTAAAGATTATTTTTTAAAACAAGTGAAATAAGTAAAATCGAAATCAAATTTGTGAAATCCATGAAATATTGCGTGAAGAAAAGACCAAGTCATAAAAAAGAAACAACAAAATTAAACATAAAATTAAAAAAAAAAACTAACGCAATAATAATAACAGTATTTTGATTTTTCTGCTCTGTTGTTTGTAAAGAAAGGAAGATTTTTATTTAAAGGGATCCAGAAATCTGACAAAGATAAACATTGCTGCAAATGTTTTTTAAAGTTTTTATTAGGCAGATATTTAAACTCCCCTGGAAGACCATTGTACAGATGTAAACCACCAAAAAAATTGGCAATTGGCATATAGATGTCACAGCAAATGTTTTGCAAAAAAAAAAGAAAAAACATCAAAAACATAATTTTTTTCCTCACTTTTTAAAAGCAGGGTTTAAACGTACACGGCAGTACTTAACATATTTGTATTTTTCTTGGAATTTGTTTCTTTTTCTGGTGGTATTTTTATGAGAAGCTCCATCAACATTAAACTTCGATTTGTGTTTATGAGCATATAAAATGTCACAGAAATTAGTGCGTGTTTTTTAAAGCCATCACAAGGCAGGTCAAAAAAGAGTTGGAGTCTTGGTGGTGAGAAAGTTTTTTAAACTTAACATAAAGAGGTTTTTATTGACTTTTAAACAAGCAAGAGTAAGAGAGACGACTCTTGAAGCTCTCATACCCTACATGGTCACTAAAACTGAGAGCTCTATCCAGGAGTAAGCACATTAAGCCCGCCGAGGTCTAACTGCTGTAGTGTAGAAACAGAATCAATATACTGGCACCAAGGAAGTTGGTACCTCCTAGTTTGGCTTATTGTTGAAACTATCGGGACCAACAATCTTACTACAGATTCGCCATTTGCTAACTACTTACTACAATGCTATGTTCAACGTTTTCCCTCAACAGACGTTCCTCTGATAAAGAATATCTAGCGTCGTGCGTAACAGCGTCGACGAGTCCCTTCTCGATTTGGTGTTTGATAGCTTTGAATAACAAAAACAAGGAAGAACCTGCGTATTCCTTCAGATAGTGGTACATACAGAGCGCCATCCAATTAGTCAACATTTTTTCGACCACGCTTTCTGTACGTCGCAGCATCAGCTGCGGATGTTTCGTATTTACAGATTTTTCTATTAAACGTAATAACAAACATTTTAGAATATCCGTTGCGTACTCCATTTTATCCATTAAAACTATCATTAACAACGACGCTACGTTTACTCTGAAAAAAAAATGGCGTTTAGCGCTCTCGTCCGATGGGATCGATCAGACCGACTCACTTGTTTCTAATGTTAAACGATTTTTGCTCTTCTAAAATATCGATAAACGTCAACAAAAAATGTTTATTATTTATTAGCTGCTCGAACTGCATCATGGCGGCGTCGTAGTGGTTTCGGGGACCATTGAGCCGCATCTATAAACCATTTTCTTCAATATAAGGACCTATAAAATTATTAGTCACGCCATTACCTTTAGAGCGTTTAATATTGGGTGATCCGAAACGCCTGGAAAGAATACCTTCATGATATACGTGGTATGGTCGAGTGTAGGAATTCCAGAATTTTCCAAATCTGCTGTGAGATCCGTCATGTCAGTCTGCAGCTCGGCAAATGCTAATAAAAACAAATTGGAATGCCCTTTACGTACGAACCAGACTCTCCGACTTACCCAATTTACATTCAGACCTAACGTTACTTTCCAACGTGTCCATTTGTATTTGGATACGTTTGTATTCTCTTTCCGCTTGAGTGGACTTTCTTCTATAAACGAACAACACGGCGACAAAGAAAAAACCGAACAGAATAATGCCTGCCGCTATCATAATTATCGCTTCCGGTGGAAAAGCAAACGCTTTAAACAAGTCGTATTTCAGGTAGCCTATCGGAAACCTTAAAGTTTTTCCGACTCTAACCACCACAAGTGGAAGATTTGCATCAGTCTATAAAAAAATAGGAAGTTTTTACCGAAATTTAGCATGCAATTCCATCTAAAATGATTTGTACTCAAAAACTCAAGACTAGTCAGTTAATTAAATAAAAATAAACTATTTTCAAATGAAAATCTCGAATATTATACAGGGTGATTTCAGTATTTTGGGATATACAGCGTTGCCTGATTTACCCGAAACCAAAAGCATGGAAATTTCAAGTATGGGATATCCTATATTTATTACAGATCACCACATAAATAAAATTTAATATCTCTACGTCCATAAATTCTATTCTTCTTTCGTTATCACATAGGGTGAAGAAAAAATTTTGATGATTTTCTTAAAAATATTTGGGAATTTTTCAGAATTATGTGTAGTAGCCGAATCTGCCATAGAGTATGGGTTATTTCATTTGAAATCCTTAAGTTGTCATTAGTTTTGGGTAAATCTGGTGGTACCTTAGACATTTACTTCGAACGTGCATTTGCTCCAAATATTTTTAACTCTGCGACATTGCCACTTCTTCGAAAAAGTAGTATCAACATTGAAATTTTAAAAGAGACACCATGTATATTATTCATTGTTTTTGAATAATACGTTCCTATACCTATCTTCAGCGGTTTTGGACAAAATAAATATCTTCTTCATTTTTCCGACCATAACCTATCTTAAATTTTCATTACTCCGATACTGGAGCCAATGGAAAGTTAAAATTTTAGACTTAGCTTAGGGGAGCATTAAACTACATTATACAGGGTCGGTCAAACTAATGATTTGAATACCAGATACAAAAATGGATACAGGCTTCATCAGGATAAAAACTTCTACAACCAGAGGGAAGACATTGGTTTTTTGAAACACTTGGTTTGTTATAATCGCCATGACTTTCGATGGACAACAATTTATAAACATTATAAAATATTTCCTCAGACAGCAACGTTACTAACTAATTAAACTAGCACGGAATATTAAAAACAACAAGATGTAGAAATTATAAAAATATTTAGAGGTAAAAACAATTTGTTACAACCGGCGCGCCATATTGTCGAGCGGAGACGTCAACGGTTTTTAAAGTGTTTAGAATGCAATGGTGGTGTGAGCAATCTTTATTTTAAGTCTTAATATTTGTTTAGTGTAAATAGTTTTTAAAACGTTTTTCTACAATGGTTGGAAAATATTTTTTGTTGCGAAAAAATTAGATCGATAGAGCATTGCCGCTTATGGAACTAATTAAACTTTCAGAACAATGCAATGTATCGTTCGCCCTAAGGTGGTTAGTTAGTCATCTAAAATTTTTAATAGGGCACTTAAATCATGTGCTTGAAACCCTTATGGATTTTTTCTTCCTAGAGTCAGATTAGACGTAGTGGACGATTTTTTTTTAATTTAGGAACTGTTTCAGAATAAATAAGAACTATATAGTTCAGATTTTCACGAAATTATATATTTTTACATCACAATTGTTTCGACAACACCGTGTCTTTATCAAATGTAATATTTACAAACTACCTGCTACTATATATACCAAAAAATGACCATAAAACCTTAATTAATGTTCTTGTGAGAATTTACGTTCAATAAAGGAGAGGTATTTAAATCTAATTGATAGTTAAGCAATACATTTGAATATCTCATTTCGTTAATTTCCATGGCTTCCAATAAATTTCATTTTCTACTTTTTGTGGCTGTATGTGAAATATCAAAATTGTCGTCCAAAATGTGTTTTTCTGTGTTTAAGTGTGTAGTATAATTAGAATCTAGACTATTGTTTTTAAACGCTCTTTTATGTTCGTTAATGCGTTTCTTGAACGATCTACCTGTTTGTCCAATAAAATAAATTTTAGGACAAGATCCGCATTTTAAACCTGTAGACACCTTATTTTTGTGATTTTGGATATTTCGTTTTATTGTTTTTTAAAAATTTTCCTGTTGTGTTGTTAGTTCTGAAAGGTATTTTTAAACCACATTTTGACAGATCTTTTGAAACTTTTTCACTAGGTTCTCCTATGTATGTAATACTTTTAAATTGTTCGTGTTCTGTATTAGGTTTCGGATAAATAGAGTTTACTGTTGTCTGGATTTGTTTTTTATTTATAATTTTATCGATGATGGACGTATTGTAGCCATTGTTCAGTGCAATTTGTTTAATGATATTAAGTTCTTTGTTGTAATTTTCTGTTGAGAGTGGCGTATTAAGAAGTTTGTTTATAAAAGAGTGAAATGCAGCCATTTCCTGTGTATAAGGCTGATTTGAGCTGTTATGTCTGACCATGTCCGTGTGTGAAGGTTTATGATAAATGGAAAAATCTAATTTGTTTTGCGTTTTCGTAATAGTTAAGTCTAAAAAATTAATAGAGTTATGTTGTTCAATCTCTATAGCGAATTTTATACGATAATGTAATGAGTTAATGTAATTTAAAAAAGAATTCAATTGTCTGTCCGTTCCAACAAAGCAAGCAAAGACCTCATCCAAGTATTTATACCACCATAGAAAACTTTTACTTAAAGGATGTTCTAGCATGATATTTTCCAAATTATCCATAAAAATCTTGGCTAACAAAGAACTAAGTGGGTTTCCCATAATCAAACCTTCCTTAGAGATGTAAATCTGTCCATTAAATTCAAAATAATTTTGGTCTAAAGATACTATTAAGCAATCTAATAAATCTCTCCTTTATTGAACTTAAAAATTCTCACAACAATATTAATTAACGTTTTATTGTCATTTTTCGGTATATATAGTAGCAGGTAGTTTGTAAATATTACATTTGATAATGACGCGGTGTTGTCGAAACAATTGTCATGTATAAATATATAATTTCGTGAAAACCTGAACTTTTAGTTCTTATAGTTCTTATAATGGATTTTCATCAAGTAAAAGTCACCTCAGTTTCAGAAGCATAATCACTCTGTATAATTATTTTTGTAGAGCACATGTACGTACTATTTTTTTTGTAGCAATCAACAATAAAATCAACACTAACATGGCAATGTGGGATGATATCATGTTAGAAGCGCCAAAAAATAAATAAATAAAAAACCGAAATTAGCAAAAAACTTTGTACCAAATAAAAAAAAAACTTTCAATGTAATGAATGTAAGTAATGTTTACCTTGATTCCATTTTCGTCTGTATCCAACGGTTGGACCTCTGGCGGCGAACAAACAAGCTGCGTCATAGCCAAACTTGTGACGTTACACTGTTTCGTACCGATTGTTACGACAACATCGGCCTCATCACTGGCGGCGTTCAAATTTTCACCCTCTATAACAAGAGTGTCGCCCTTGTAGAGTTTTATCTGATTGGGAAACTCGAAAAACTTGGGATCTTCCACATACAAAATCGACGAACGTAAATTTGGAAAGTGTTTTTCTAAATTTCTCACTGACTGTACGTTATCCATCACGAAGCCCACTTTTAATATTAGTTTAGGCTCTTTCATCTGCAAACACATGAGTTCAACATAAATAATTATGAAATCAGTAATTTAGCGGCCTCGCTTCACGTAATAAGGAAGGAAAGTTAACGACGTTTAGGCATTTAGGAATATCTTTTTTTTATGTGCAAAAAAATTTAAATTAACCAAAACCAGGAATATTTTAATAATATTTAACGGAAATAATGACACCGTTATTCATCATATACATATACCGTATGTCCAATAGAAAGACGCATCATGGAGACCTCGAAAATTCTCCGTTCTCTGTAGACGCTTTATAAAAACCCGAATAACTTCGGAATCGTTGAACCCAGCATGTTGAAATTTTGCTCCTTTTAAACTGCCCACGAGATACATAAGCCTATAAACGGTCGCGATTGGAAATTAGCATCTGTCTTTTTTGCGATTTTCGTCTGTTTTTCGTACATCGCTATGAAGCACGATAAGTGTCCGAGATTTGCAGTTAGATTTTAAAATTGCCACAAATATAAGCGTAGTCTCCTAATAGAAATTGGGGCGGCTGGGGGGTCGGGAAGTATTTTTAAAAATTTTAAAATCCGGATTTGCAGGGTATCGCGTATAGATGATCGAAAAAATTCTTGAACCAGAAGACGCGCGAAATCCTGGTCAAAATCATTATTCTTGATTTGATTTTTTTTTTAAATGTACAGGGTGCGTCGGAAAATTGCAAAAAAACTGAAAATTGGGTTCCCCTTATATGGATAATTGACCATAACTAGATGGCTGTGTTTCAGCTACCATTTTCTTTCGCGCGACCATGTAGTCCGTATGGACTGCTAAGAATTTTGTATTTTAGGTTTTCACATATTGTACAGGGTGTTCGGAATATTCTGTATCACATTCAAAAATGTAATAGATGTCTCACAATTGTAACTATCGACTTCAAATTTAGCAGGGAAGTGAAAGTCCACACCCTCATCTAAACCGTAGAAACAACCTTACGTAGCATTTTTTTAAAATTTCGAAATTTTCGTTTTTCTTTTTTTTTTCAGAAAAAACAAAATTTATTGAAAACTATTAACTTGATCGGCAAAATTATTTTACCAGGAGACGCGGAAGATTCGGTTCGATTATGTACAGGGTTTTTCAATTATAGACAAAAATCTAAAAGACCCTGAAAATCTTTCTTCTCGCTATTAAATTATTATCCGTAAAACAAAATTCGTGAAAAATATGACCAATTCGTTTAAACAGTGATATAGGCCACATCGACAGCTACAACTTTTGTATTTACGATTTTCGTCTATCACATACACTGTTCGAGATATTTGAAAAAATTCAAATGAAAATCACCATTCAATCTAAACGCGATGACGTCATTTACTATTACGACGTACTGCATGGTTTCAGAAAACAAGCATTTTTTCCGAAACCATTTGCTCTATTGAAAAAATTCATATACCAGGAGGGTTTTTGAGTAAAAAATCTAAAAGATGCTAAAAATTATCGGCGATAAATGCAAAACCGTTAAAGATGGGATAATTGCATTTGAACAGTGTCGTAAACTGTGTCGCGAGAGAGTTTCAGGTTTCATCTATTATACAGGGTTCGCGAAATATTTGAAAAAATATCAATGGAAATCGCTATTATATGTAAAAATTCTAATATTTACCAAACTTTGCCACTTATGCACAATAAAATTACATCGATTTTGCGAAAGTTCCATAGTGCTGCGCAGGAGCACGATAGAAAAACAATGCGTTCCTCTAGGACAAAAAGCGTTTAGAATAAAGACCTTCGTAATGACTTTGTAGACTGTGTATCTCATAGTACCGCGCAGACGATTCGCACTGCCACGATTTTTCAAAATCAATCTGAAGTTGCTGTAGATGAGAATGCTACCATTTAAAACACCAGGAATTAGCTGCAACAACACGAAACTTCTTCAACCAAATTTAAGAAATAAATGAATGAAGAAAAGTAATATTGCCATAGTAAACTTTCCTTCCCTTTAAGTACGCGAGTTATCCTTCAATTCAAACCTTAATAGACGACGGTTTCCTCAAAGATCGTCTAGACCGCGAGCTATAACTGAAAAACACCCTGTTCACTGCTGGACTGGGGCATTCCATTTGAGTGGAACTCAGCACAGTACAAACGGTACTGTTGATGGGTAAACTTGGCTCGCTATAATAATAAACTTCCATCTCAGGTCGTTGCGTACTGTCCAAATTGGTGCCATGGACGAATATCATTTTCCCTCCGGAGACGAAACTGTTCAAAGGTTTGATTTCCAAAATCGTCGGGTCTTGGGTGTAGTTGAACGGATTGCCTTCCAAAGTGCGATTAGCACCGTCGATACTTAAAGTTAATTTGGCTATGTTCATTGGCCGAGGTGCTTTCGACGTTATACACGTCAATCTACCGCTGGAAGCTTGGGTTAGGTTCACTTGACAGACGTTGTTGTCCAAATACGCCGTTATTTCGGAACCTATGTTTAGATATTTTCCGGTTATAGCCAGTAGTGTGCCTCCCGATTGAGGCCCGATAGATGGGTATATCCCGGTCAGTCGAATATCTTGGTAACTAAATTCTACTGAAGATTTAGTATAGCCCGCTTCGTTGCCCACTATAACGGGCGCAGTATGCTCGATACGCGAAGGGCCACTCACGCATTGAATTCTAACTGACACTTCATAATTTACAAGTTTACACGGGACGTCGCCTATTCTTATTTTACCCTGGACGTCTTCTCGTTTCAATCCTAAATTGCTCCCTTCTATGGTAACTAGAGTACCTCCTTCTATAGGCCCGCTTAGAGGTTTGATCTGAAAATGGTTACGTGGAAATTGATTTTCCCACAAACATTTTTCGACGTTTTCAACAAATATGAAAGTGTAATATGTTATTTATTATAGAAGTTACATATGTTTTAGTCACTAGTTTTGGAAACGATTGATGGGTAAAATGGATATTAGAGTCCGTTAAGACGTATATGCTTAGAAGTATATCGGCTTAGTCAAAAATACCGGAATGCTTTGAACATGCAGAAATCAATGCAGTGTTGTCAGATTACGTTACGCGTCATAACGTACCGTTATTTTAAATGGAATGCCCTATTTGTAGGAAACTTTAGAAGAGTATCCGTGAAAATAATTATAGATTTCATCGTAAAATTTGAGAACATTTTTGCGTTCCGCTAATTTTTAAAAATAAAATATATTTTTTTAATATCTGTAATGATACTTTAGATATTTTAATGAAATTTGCCACACATGTACTATGTATCAAGAGGCATTATTTCACCTGTCTATTTTTAGGATCTATGTTCATATGAGATTTTTTTTTAAAGACCCAAAAATCGAACGCTTATTTGTGGACATTTAATTATAAAACACTTTGTATATTGAATTTCTTAGCACAGAAAACAAAAAAATGTCTTTTTCATATTTAATTACATAGGCTTTACAAAATTTTATTATAATTTGAAATAACACTTTCTAAAACTAGTGTGATAATAATTTGAAATAATATACATGGTGTTCCATAAAAAACATCTACTTGCCAAATATGTCGTTAACTAAATATGTCTGACATTTTGAACAAGTTTGTAACATTCATAAAATACATACATACTTTCACAGGTGGGTGACTTAATAAAAATTTAATTTAGATAAATAGATAAGAAAAACTTAGTGAGAAACAATGTGAGGCACACTGTATATGTACTCAATTACAATTTAGATTTTATAACATTTATTTTTTTTCAAAACCCAATAGAATAATTTTCTTCTGAATCAATTTAAATTCAATAACTATTTTCAGTAGAAAATTTTACTTTTTGGAGCGTCATGGTGAATAGATTTTGGTTTTTATTGCAACGAACAAAATCCCCTTCCTTAAACTAATGTTAAAAAATAAAGTTGAAGTTAAATAAATAGATATTATAATGAATCAGATGGTACTTGTACTCAATTCTAATTTAGATTTTATAACTTTTTTTTTTTTTCAAAAACCAATATGCCAATTTCCGTCCGATTCAAATCAGAAGTAAGTTGTAAAGTAGACCATTTAATTACAACTAACGAGACGGATTCAAAAATTACGCACCTCAGGTAATAAGCATTCCTCAGGTGATCAATCATTCCTCATATGCTATCAATCAAACGGCTAGTTTGTCAGTTTATTACGATACGAATTGCGAATAAATGTTTTCAATTAGCTTTTTCACCCCGACAGCTTTTATATCATATGATGTATGGTTAATTATAAAAAACATGTTTTCCCTGTTAGATATTTATTTTAATCACTATAAATATTTTCAGTATCCTTATAAAAAAAAAGAACAATTGGCTACTTCAATCCTGGTAATCGGAAAGGCGTGTAACCATGTCTACTACTACTACGCATGTCTTACTTTCCTAAAATCATTTTCATTTAATTCAGACCAAATGAGATTTCTTGCCTTTTTTCATACAACGACAATATTTGCGCAAAAAAAAATAAATAAAACGAATAATATTTTTTTCTTCAAAAGCCCGCCCATGTTTCAAGTTATTTTTGCATCTCAGAACTTTCAACACTCTATATTTTGGAAAAAAAATATTTTTGGATATACATTCCTATAGGGATTTGCTAGTATAATTTTGAAATATCTGGAATATAAAACGTTTGAAAGTTTATACAGGGTGGTTTCTTCTGTTCTTCTGTTACCAACGAAATACTGAAAAATAATGGAGAAAATTTGATGGTTCTACTTACGATATCGATCCTCGGTCTGGGGCATTCAATATGAGGCGTGTGTAGGCAAGTCTCGCTATACTGACAACTGTTGCCGCACCAAGTGCATTGATATTTAGAATTTCTAGTAACGCACAAAGAACAGTCCGCGTGTTCTCTATGAGACCCCAAAATATCACATTTATAAAGGATAACGTTAATGGAATCAATATGGTGATTCCTGTTCCACACCACTCGCACACTAGCCTCGTGTTCGCCTTCGTTGGCTTCATACGAATACTAAAAACGAAAATAAAACACCTAAAAAGGGCGAAGGTATTTTATATTCGCGTACTCACAGTCGTTTTATCACAAACGATGTATTTATCGGCGTCTACTTTGGCCGGGACCAACATGGTAGCGCCCTCTATAACTACTATACATTGAAAACCGAAATGACCCGCTTGCGGGTGGGGCAAATTCTTAACCTCAAACACGATCTCTTTTAACACGTTGTTAGGGAGCAATATCACATCTCGCTTTTTGAATTGGGGACAAAACGCATATCCGTGGCTAGGAAGGTGTAACGGATTCTACAAAATGAATAAAATGGAATCACTCAAGCAACCACAGAAATTAAGTTAACCTTATTTTAACATTAACACACTTTTTATACTTTGAATAACTTTAACGGTGTTTGTAAGCGCGACTGATCTCATTATTATAGAGGAGACAAAAGTTTATTGGATTTTATTACACTATTGGATTCCAAATTGTAATAGAGAAAATTACGAACAAAACTGAACCAAAATCGAGTGGAACTTAAATTCCACTTGCTTAAAATTCACGCAAGTTCAAAGCTTGATATAAAAGGACACTTTTTATAATTTAAAAACCTTTAGCGGTGTTTTTAAGTGTAACAAAAGTTTATTAGATTTAACTACACCACTGGATACAAATCTATATGAAGAACGTAAATTGGAAACAGTTCAAGTAGAAACTAGGAACTGTTAAACAAAAAAACAACAAAACCGAAAAAAATCTAGAAATTAGGGACATATAAAACATTGGCAAGTTCAAAAGATACAAGATACGAAATAATACTTTTTATAGTGCAACAAAATGTTATTAGATTTGACTACACCACTGGATATCAAAACGATAAACAATTCAAGCAGAATCTAGGATCATAAAATATCACTGTCTATAAATTTAAAGAGTAATTTTCATTTCTCAATTTAATTAATTTATTCCTCAAAATGTTGCCACAAAACGTTGTTAATATCCAGCGGTGTAAAAAAAATGTCCAATCAAGCCGAAGTCACTAAAGACACTCTTAACTTTGCTGCTATAAATTTTAAATGAAAAGTAATACCACACGTACGTTTTCGCCGCTGATGACGTTCCTTTGATACGACGAAATGTTGTGGGTGCATTTGTTTTCGTAAACGCACCAATTGCACGCCCATTTTGACCTGACGCATTCTCCACACGTGATATGTTTTCCGCAGTCGTAATACGCGAAATTTCTGGACACGAAATCTTTATTAGTTTCCGAGGAGCGTACGCTAAGCGGCACCAACACGTGATCAGTTTTCGGAGGAATTTTCGGACGTCTGGATATATCCGGGGTAAGGCAACTAAGCCCGTATTCAGTCACTTGGGCGTCGATCGGATCGGATGATCCGAAAACGCATTTATATTTGGCCCCGTATGGCAATTCCGGCAGTGTTCTGATCGTAAGACGGACGGTAGTCATCTGGGTAATGGGTATGTGTTCGGGTACTACTTGTTCGAAATCTATACACTGTTGACCGGTTCCCAATGATAGCCATCGCGGGGCACTGTGAGATGCTTTTTGACAAGCGCTACGCACTGTACATCTAAAAATTGTCCAGATAATGTTCGTTCAGTAAGAAACTTAGCATATGGTGTGTCTCAAAATATATCGTCTTGGATTTTGACCGACTCTCCCCGAAAAAGTTCTTACGAACCTCGCACCTATTATTACTGGGAAAATCCAATAACCCTCAACACTAACATTAAGTTTCTTTATTTAAAAAAAAAAACAAAAATTGCTATAAAACACATTAATAATTAGCTGGTTTTTGATGATCGCAAACTGATTAGCTTCGAGTCCAACAAACATCCGTTTTCGGCACTTTGTTTCAAACCTATCTAAAACTGATCTTTAACAGTCTAAATCTCATCAGTTCAACATGTCACGTCTTTGAACATAAATGCAGTAAAAATTTTGAGATGTTTATTAAATCTATTCCTTTGAGATAAAACATATTAGGGTGCTTAGTGTATCAAAAATATTAAAACAATACAGGAAAAGTATTTAACTTAGAAGTCAATATAGTCAAAAGAACGAAACTAACCAACATGTCAAAGGTGGTATGGAACGGATCTATTATGACCTCGATGTTGCAAGATGCTTTTTTTGCTTGTTATAAATTTTTTTGTTAATAAATATATAAATAAATCCGAATTAAATGAATTTAACGGGTGTTTTCAAAAAGTATTCATTAAACAAGAAGTTTTAAAAGAAACCTGCCTATCTTCAAAAACACTATAAAATAAATTGTTAATAAACTAAACATTCAACTGTTCTTCTTTAAAATGTGTTTTTCAATCCAAGCCGACAAACTTTATAACAATATCCCTAACAACTTTCAACCTCTAACCTTAAGTAATTTTAAGTTCACCAAAAGTAACATACTCTACGGCATCTACTTTCTTTTTTTTTCTTCTTCTATCCATCTTTGGTTGTATAGACTAGACTTAATATATTAATTAGTAATAGTGTTGGTTCCTGTTTTTAGGTTGAGTCTAAGAATAGATAAAGTCTATATATACAAAGACTTATGTTATACAATATCAGTTGATATATCTCAATAAAATCGATTATTATTACTATTATTATTATTATATAAGGAGGACAATAAATTCCTTTTATTAAATCCTACATAGGATAAACTAAAAAGGAAGCTAGAAGAAGATAAAATGTATACAGTCTCAGACAAAAGCGCATTTAAGTACACGATAACTCAGAACTTTGCGGAAACTAGTCTCAAAAATTGGAACTGTCATTATGAAAGCATCAAATTGAAAAAGTGCATAAAATGAAATTCAATAATATTTTTCAAAGATATATATGATAGTTTCGTGGTGAATTCCTTTCAACTCATTGATCAATTAAAAACCATACGTATACGATATTTAGTTGCGAAGTAGAATCAATCTTTTCTAAAGCCCCTATTTCTGAAACTCTCAACATTATTTCAAATATATTAAAATCCGAGAATCTGGAATAAAATCTAATCATCTTAATTGAAAAATGCTTGTCTGGAACATATTTTTCTTGTAACGGTGAAGTTTATGAACACAATGAAATGCACGCGTAATTTAAGTCCGAATGTAATAAATTTAATTTAAAATGTAATTAATAATATACCTGTTGGGAGCTGGAAAAATTGCAGTACAGCATATTTTAAAAATTGAAGATTCTTGCATTTGCATACATAATAACATCCAGCCCCTTGTAATTAAACTTCGTGTCAACTCTGACAGTTAAACAAAATTAAATTTTGAATAAAACCGTACGTATTTAGGTAATTTTTATTATTTGTGTATATATAGTGTCATTATATTTTCTATTAGCACTAATGTGGATTTCAATATATCTAAAAAAACATAATAATAACATTAAATCTTTACATTTTTAAAAGACCGTTGCTGATGCTCTGTCATACAATCCCGCCCATAATTGCCGTCTAAAGCCAAAACGATATACTTTGATACAAAGTCTACATTATGTATTGCAAATATAGAGTGCTTAAGAAAGAAGCGTGGAGACAATTATGGGGGTAATATAAATATATTATTATAAAAATAGGTGCAGAAACTGGTCGTTAAAAAGAAAATAAATTCCGTCGAACCGATTTTTGCCTGTATCGGTTTGACTAATCCAATTTTTCTCGATTTGTTTGTTGGATAATGGGTCATTTTAGTTACTTTAAATATTTTATTATAGGACAGTGGAAAAGGTAGGAAATAGTGAAGTATTCCTTAGAATTAACAAGAAACTGGAAATAGTCAAGACAATAAAAAACACACAAAACGAAAAGGACTTTGGCCTCATAATGAGAATATAAATAGAAATATAAATAAATACGAAGAATTTCTTGGCTCAAAAACCTGCGAGAATGTTTTGAAATGAATAGTGTTCAAAAAACAATAAAATTTTCACGGTAATAATGTAGGTAGCAGTCGTAGGACCAACAAGCAGCAATTTCAATTCCCTGGTTTAAAAATGTCACACATATTGATGTTTTGTCAAAGGTTTTTATAACGTTAATCTGCAACAAGCCGTTTTATTGTGACTAAGCAATTGTAAAATTAAACAAAAATCACACAATATAGGCCAAATGTTATTAAAACACGATATGTGATTTAATGTAGACAACTATTTGCGATATACTCATTAAATATTAAGTGCAAATCACTAATCGATCAGTAAATGTAATTTAATGGATTAAAATTAAAAAAAAAAAACAGGTTAACACTCACTTTTTTTCCAACGAACACCATCCGCAATAAGGATCTTTCGATTCCAAACAGGCGGAACAGTTGGTGTAAGTGCTACAGTGTTCCACGTTAATTTTTGAAACCTAGAGATCAAAAAAAAAGAGAACGGGGTTGAGTACGAACATTAAACTGTCGCGGCTAAAAAGAATTTCCGTTCTAGCTTGTGAAATTTGTTAAGTTCTAAAACAACATTACACGATTTCCAACAGTTAATTTTAGAACTTTCTATACGTTAATACTTAGGATACTTTAGAATATAGCCGCATAGTTTAAAAGCGTAACCGATTATGAGCATAATTCCGCATTTTCATATAGCGAGGAAAGTTTGCGACGGATACTGAAAACTGAAACGAGCAATACTAAAAGTAGCAATAAAGTGATTTCATTCCAATAGTCCGGGAGGCGATTCATTTTTTTTTTTTTTGATAACCAGTCGATGTAAATCAATTACCCTGTTCCAATCACCACTTCACAATAAAAAATCAAGGACAACGCATTTACAGGGCGTTTTCTTCTAATTGGCGGTCAATAAGTAAGGTATTTTTTTAAACAAACCTTTATAAGAACGCATATCTCTTAAAAATAAATCATTTTCTACGTTCTTAATACACAGGGACTGAAAGTTAAAGACAAATATATCTCTTTAATAATTTCTAAACCAGTTGAACTATTTTTATTCGCGTTTGTAGCGCGATCATTTATAATTTTATTTAACGTTTGAAAAAAAAAGTCCACACAAAAGCTATTTGCTAGATACATTTATATATATATATATATATATATATATATATATATATATATATATATATATATATATATATATATATATATATATATATATATATATATATATATATATATATATATATATATATATATATATATATATATATATATATATATATATATATATATATATGATGACACTATACTCCGGGATATCATCCGTTCGCTCGTTGAACTCCGACTGGAATCCTGCATCCGACTGGAATCCTGCAAATCCTGCATCCGACTGGAATCCTGCAGACGTTTCGCCAAAATCTCACTTGGCATCTTCAATGCTCGCGCTCCGAAAACACATTGAAGATGCCAAGTGAGATTTTGGCAAAACGTCTGCAGGATTCCAGTCGGAGTTCAACGAGCGAACGGATGATATCCCGGAATATAGTGTCATCACATTTTTCCATCCGTGAATCAATACGTGAGAATTGCAAAAATCACCCACAGATAAAAGATATATATTTTTAATCGAACACCCCATACGCTTATTAAAATCCCCTAAAAATTCTGCACATTTCTTGTATAATATGTCATACACCTAAATGCAATAGTTTTTAACATAAAAGTAACATTCAAAAATAAAATAATATTAAAAATTTATAATTTATATCTAAGCTGGGATTGAGGTACGTCGTCACCAAAAAACGAAATGTTTGTTTATAACGGACAGTGACAGTTACCAGTTAAGGATTTTACAAAAGTTACGTTCTTTTTATTATAAAATACTTTAAGCAAATAATCAAATTGAAAAACATCCCAATAATTCCATAAGAAAAATATCGGAAAGCCTGAAAGAAGAGTTCATTAATGAAAAAATACATCGTACGGTAAAATTCATAAAATTAGGAATTAAAATTATTCCTATCACAAAATTAGTGCCCAGTATTGAGAGAAAAGGGTTGAGTTTTAGGCATTTTATATATGACAAAAGGAGCATACTTTTGCTAAATTTGTAATTGTCATTGTCAGTTATAAACAAAGGTCTTGTTATTTGTATTAAATTCTAGAACATTACTATTTTTGCATGTTGCTTTTATGTTAAAAGCGGATATATCTCAAAAACTATTGGATTTGGGTATAGGATATATCACACAAGCAATGTGCAGAATTTTAGGGGAGTTTATTAAGCGTGTAATATACAGGGTGTTCAATAAAAAAATACAGTAGAGCTTACTATTACTTATTTACATTATGTATTCTTTAATCCGGATTTCTTATGTATTCCATAGTCCGGATCACGTGTTCTTTGATAATTTCATGTAACTTTATCGTGTTGTCTAGGTGAATCCCCTAATTATTAAAAAGAGAGAGAGCACACAAAACTTTAACACTAGCGGAAAAATATGATATTTTAGAAAAATTAAAAAAAATGGTGTTAGTGGCAAGGTATTGGCTATAAAATATGGAGTTGGTATGTAGACTATTTCGGATATACAACAGAAATCTGGGCTAATAAAGAGGTGTGTATGTTGTAGAGCTAGCACGAAGTTTTAAGTATGTAATGTAAATTTTGTTTTGAGAGTTTTGAAATGACTGAAAAACAGAAAATAAATATTTTTTGAGCTTCCTTGTGCCAATGGAGATGGAACGCATTAGCTAAAGATGATGGTTATTGGCAAATCAAAAAATCCGAGGTCATTTAAGAATTGTATCATGAATATCATGCTAGCAATAAAGCGTGGATGACTTTAGCTTTATTTGTCAAATGGTTTCACGAATCTTTTGTTCAACAAGTAAAAACGTTTCATAAAAAGAATAATATGAACGGCAAAGCACTTTTACTGATTGATAATGCTCGAAGTCACTCAACAGAAGATCAACTGATCAGTGATGATGGAAATATCGTAGCTATGTTCCTTCTTCCTAATACTACGCCCGTAATCCAACCGATGGATCAAAATGCAATCCGGCTCATTAAAATGTTTTACCGCAAAACCTTATTAATTCCTGTTTTGTCTTTTGAAGAAATTGACATTTCCAGCACTCTAAAAAACATGAATTTAAGAGATGCCTTATTTCTGCTGGCTAGTTCATGGGATAAAGTAAGTCCTGATGCAATTCAAAGTTGATGGAACAAAATATTTTTTCATCCAGACCTTGATGAGTCAAACTCTGGTTGGGAGCCTGAAGAGTGGATCCCATTGTCTTTACCTATTCAAAGATCTGAAACCGCCAGTAATGAGCCAAGAGAACTGGCCGAAATTAGAAATATACTACACTGTTGCTACTGAAAGTAATCCTTCGCAAGAAACAGAGATCAACGAGTACTTACCGCTGTACAGTGAGAGTGGCAGTAAAGAGGGTGACGAGGAAGCTGTTAGAATTGATCTAAAAATTAAACATGAGGAAGCTCAATGTTTTGTCCATCTTACGAACCATGAGAAAACGCGCAATACAAGGAAGACAATGCAGTATAAAACAAACAAAACTTACAGATAATCTTAGTTTCATAAGTCCTAATTATTGGTCTTATTAACATTTTCCGATATCCACATCAACATGTTATCTTTTACAATAATGCAAACCATTTATTTGCATTATCTTAGTTGTTCTATGTCGGTAGGTGTAAGAACTGCGTGTGAGTGTTCTTAATCTTATATTTTTTAGGTGTTAGTAAATGTTTACATTTTTTGTGTTAATAAATGCTACAACAATGTGTATTTGGTGAATTTTTATAGCTTTTAAAAAGATTCCAATAATCCGGATGTTTCACTAATCCGGATTGCCTCGGTTTTTATTACCCCGGATTACCGAAGCTCTACTGTATATAACTTTTATCTGGGGGTGATTTCTGCAACACCCCCTATATACAAAAATATATCTTTATCTTTATCTATAATTGAAGTTCATTTCAATGAGATCGAGAAAAAAAGTATCTTTTTGTTTTTATTCAGTGAAGAGCTAAAAATTGTTCGGAATGACGGGCCCCTAAATTATTACAAGATTGAATGAAAAAAACAAGCTTAAAGGACAGGGTTGAATTAAAACGATATATATTTATAGATGTAGGTAACGAATAGGATACTGAATAATTCTATCAATGCGTGTCGACTGAACGGCAAAAAAAATGCTCGCCTCTTCAATCATTTATATATTATTAGGCTTCCAAAAAAAACATTATCAACCAAAAATAACCTTTTGTTGTACAAATTTACCTTTGAAGTGGAAAGAACGTAAAGATAATCTCCTAGAGGTGACAGGGTTGTATCGGGAAGTACGGCGTTACCCGGATCAACTTCCACCTCTTCATATTCAGGAGGTTCCGGTCCGTTGAGTAAGATTTTTTTTATTCTACCGTCTGTTGTTCCGAGGAAGGCTAAGACGTGCCTTCCCGTAGATGCTGTAGTTACGGCCGATAAGGAGATGTTTGGGAAAGTAAGAGCAGCGTTCGCCACCACTGGCGTCGCGCCACTGATTTTTAAACCCACGTCACCACAAAAATTCGGAATGTTTCCTGCCGAACCGCTAGACGGACACTTGCCATCCAATACAGGGCCGGATATGTAACCCATATTTCTATTAACATCGAAAATTTGTTGAAAAAATAATAAGGCACATTTATTTCCCGAGGAACGGAAATTCCAAACACCGCATAGTACTAGTTTTATAAATATTGAGTTTTTTTCATCAATAAGTTCTAATGTACCAAATAACGTTCCATTTAAGAATCTCTTAAGGGTATTTGTACGTATAATGTTCTATATGCTATTGCACCAAGCAAATTCAACTGCGCACTTATTCTGTTTTAGTTCAGTACTGGAAAAAACATTTAAAAAATCTGTTTGTTCTGCGTAGCAAATATTATAGAATTACATTTTAAAACATTCTTTGTTTTTCCAAGCTCCATTTGCTGCTTTGAAATACGTTTTGCTACTGTCAATACAGGGTTTGCTCGCATCGGTTCGCAAAAGTTGCCATTATGCAGAATATATCATGAATATCTCATAGCACCTAATGTCCTAATTTTAAATGAAAAACTCGGTATATTATTTCGTTTTTGGGTTTCCTTAAGGTTTTCCTATATTTAAAACCACTGGTTTCCAAGACTATTTGATGAGTTTAAAAATTTTATATAATCGCCTGTATCGTAAACTAAAACGCAAGGATCGTTCTTTCGAAGATACTGACAATTCATTTATCGCTTACAGGGTGTTCTACCAACTATATCCTTTTTAATGCTGTAAAACTTAGTTTTTTCAAATACACCGGGTATTTTGTTGCATAGTATGGTTCCAAATTTAATCCTACATCGATTGGCTATGCCTTCCCCCTTTCCCTAAAACCATCTTCAACGGTTATCTTACTATGTCGGATTTTCTGTAAAAATTCAATCAAAACTCAGTTCTTTCTAGTTAACTTCAATTATTGTTATTCCTTCAGTATTCGTATTTAAAATATTGTATTACTTTGGACAAAATTAATTGGAAAAACCTCAAATAACTTCGAAACCAGTAATTATTTTGAATTTAAACAAGCGTACCATTTTTGTGGCAAGTATTATTTTTGATCGTATAAAAAAACCAAGTTGGCGAAACCAAGTTGACATCTTCAGGAGAAGATTAAAACCAGTTTTAATCAACTTGGTTGGCGAAACGCGCGTCGAGTATGTAAAATTGAGTTTCGGTTTGTGGTAAAACGCGTTATTGTGTGTTAGTACAGTGCCGAAGGTTCCAGTCAAGAGTTTGATTCTATTTACTCTAAAATTAGCAGTATGTTTTTTGAAATACCAAGTAGGTTTCAAAACATTTTTGTTTGAACTGTATCGCCATTTACCGTTAAAGCTTTTTGGTTAACAGTCCAGTTGTATTGAAAAAAACCAAATCAGCACTTAGAACGTTTGGAATTTCCACTCCTGACACAAATATGTAGATACATATAAGGTCTAAATGTACAGTGTGTCCCATTCCTGTTGTAGTTTTAGATACAGCAGAAGTTGGGAAAACAGTTGACATTCGTTCCAAGAGCATCAGTTTCATGGTAGCTGTACAATATTTATTAGGTGCTTTAAGAATATAATGGTTTTGGGGAGTAAAAGTAAACATTTTATAATAAGGTTTTTAAGAAAACTATAAAACCTTTTCAAAAAAACTGAAGTAATCAACTCCAAAGGTGTGCTAAACATTATTAAAGGGCAACCTGGGACGAGAACCAGGAAAATTGCGGAATTAAATACTGATACATCAACTGTATGAAAGACGTTAAAAGAACGACGAAATTATATCCACGCCAGCCACAGAGAGTTCAAGCTAAACTAAAACTATCTAAAACCGACAATATTACATCTCATAATGTCCACATGCGAGGTATTAAGCGTTCCATTATAAAATCTCTGCCATGTATAGCTATTAAAATTTGGAATGGATTACGACATAATCAAAAGGCAAGAAATTTCCTAAACATATATATTGTATATTATATTTATATTATTAGGATAATTAAATTTTGTAAGATTCTTCATCTCAACTAACTTTTTTTTGAGCATTCTCCATCCACAGTTGGAATCCTATTTATAGTAAATATATCATCAAAACAGAAAGCATACAAAAAAAACTTTCCAACAACTTTAGACACAACAGAAATCGACACTTTTACTGGTATGAAGAAAACTTTATTTTACAAGTTTAAGTCGCTTGAAACTCGAAGAAACTGTTTTGATGTTGCTTTTCTTTACAAAGTTATAAATAACCCTGTGGATTCTTCCTTTCCAGTTTTAACGCTCATCCATATCAGGTGCGAAAGTAACTGACTTTTTCTATAGAGCGATTTAGATCGAATTGCTTTCCTAACTCTCCTATAATAAAATGTGCTCTTTGAACTTTCTCTTCTTTTAAATATATATCTTAGTAGGCTGCCAAAAAAAATTGAAGTCTTGCGTCAAATAGTTTTTTATTGACAGAATTTTACACAAGACGTGTCCGAAAAAATGTCGCAAATAACGCACGAAACGACGAAAGAAGGGTTAACACCTAAAATTATTAAAGAAAGGCTGGATGGTGTGTACGGCCAAAGTTCTTCTTTGGGGCAGGAGTCCCTTGAAGATGATTCAAGAACTGGTCGACCAGCGGAGGTCATAACGGAAGATATTGTTGCCATTGTGGAAGAGGTGGTATTGAGTGATCGACGTTTAAAGGTCAAGAAAATCTCAGAAATTACTAAGCTTTCTAATACAAGTGTTCGTCCAATCTTGCATGATCATTTCGGTATGCATAAGGTTAATGCAAGATGGGTTCCTAAAAATCTTTCGGCTGTTCTAAAACAACGCCGTGTCGAGTGTGCGCGGTCTTTTTTGGAACTCTGTGGGTTGGAACCGAAGCCTGTGATAGAAACTATTGTGACGGGAGATGAAACTATGGTTCTTTATTATGACCCTCTATCGAAAAAAGAATCAATGGGGTGGCGTCGTAAGGGTGAAGCACCTCTAAGGAAATTCAGAGTCTGCCAGTCAACAAATAAGGTGATGGCCACGATCTCTTGGGATTTTGAAGGAATTCTTTTGATAGATTTTAAAGAAACTAATACCACTGTCAATGGTAAATATTACGCAACATTATTACATAAATTGCGAGACTGCAAACGTGTAAAACGTCGAGGAAAACTGACCAGAGGCGTGCGTCTTTTGCACGATAATGCACCTGTCCATACTGCTGGTGTTGCACAAGCTGCCATTTTAAAGTGTGGGTTCCAACAGATAGATCATCCTCCCTATAGTCCAGATATGGCCCCCAGCGACTATTATTTGTTTGGATATTTGAAAAAGGACTTACGTGGACTGCGGTTTAACGACGAAGTTGAGTTAAAAGAGGCTGTTTTAGCTCAATTTGCAGACAAACCAAAAGAATATATTTTTAAAGGGATTGAGTTGTTAATAAGGAGATATAATAAGTTAAGTTAAAATAAGGGGGATTATATTGAAAAATAATAAAAAATTGTTACTCTCCTTTGTTTCTTTCATATTCAGGAAAATTTAATTCAAAGTATCCGGAAAATGATGTTGTTATTTTGCCTTATACATCAGGATGCTCTCTGTAAATCGGCTTTAGACCATATACTTAATATTGTTGTAAAACTAGTAAATATAATTCGTTCCAGAGGATTATTACATCGTCAGTTTCAACAGTTTTTGGAGTCTGTATATGCTGTGCATTCCGATATCCTGTATTATTCAAAAGTTCGATGGTTAAGTGTTGGAATTGTGAATTTTCTTCTTGACAAAGACATGTATAATCAATTTGACGTCTTAGAAAACGAAACGTGGCTTTCTGATTTCGCTTTTTCCACAGATCTCCTCGTACACATGAACAAACTCAATATCACATTGCAAGGGAAAAATCAGTTTCTTCACGATATTTGGTAATACCTGAAGAGTTTGAAATTACCGTTATTATTACTTGCTAATCGGATCTCTAAATCTGATTTTTCTCACTTTCCAGGAATACAATCTTTAAAATTCACTATATGAAACAATAAGATTAAAAAATACGACATCAATTTGACGAAACTGTCTTCAGACTTTAGAAAAATGGAACCAGAGTTTAGTATTTTTGCGACCCCATTCAATGTTAATTACGAAGAAGTTGATGCAAAATTTCATCTCGAGTTAATACAACTGAACTGTAATACTCTCCTGACACAATCTTTTCATACAGTACCATTAGTAGAATTTTATAAAAAATTAAGTTCAGATAATTTCCCAAATCTAATTACTCATGCAATGAAGATAATGACAATGTTCGGCTCATCTTATATGTGCGAATCATATTTTGTGCTTATAATTTTCTTACCTTTTGCTTTTTTACTATTAAAATAATAAGTGTATGTAATAATATATGTATATGTTTATAAAACACATACATTTTTTAACGATTAAGCATTATTCTTTGGCCCGCTACAAACTGTCCGTCTTAAAAAAAGTTTCCCCACCACTGATATAGATTATAAAATAAAGGCAAAATGGGACACACTGTAGGAAAATCGGACGGGGCGGTTCGCATATAAAACATCCGGCTGCGTCCTTACCTGTACTTAACGCTGCCATTGAAACACATGTGTATGTTTTCAATAAATTTGTTCTCAATATCCCTAAGAGAATAGATGCATAAAGCGGAATGATTTTGCGGCTCGTTGGTTATACCTCTGGCCGGCCTGAAGACCGCTATTAATACGGGCGAATCGACGTTGATGCCCAACGCGTTCGCCAATTCTTCGCCGGCCATCGCGATCTTCGCGTCCTGAACTAAGTTATACTTTTGATCGGCGTCGGAACATTGTAACGTCACTTCCGTGTAACTATCGTAATTAGCGTCGTCGATACACGTTCGAGCCAAACGCGAAACGTATCCCAATTCTTCCTGGCCGGGAAGATGGGATTGTTTTTGCACGACTACGAAATACGCGTAGTCGCTCGCGTTAAAACCGTATACGTATTGAACGATGAAATGGTCTCTGTACTTCACATCGATACTAAGCAACGATTGTTTACTAAACGAGTATTCCGCGAGTTCCAAAGAGTCCAAGTCCCTGCTGGCGATTGCAGGAACGTCGTGACGATATTCGCCGTTGTTCGTGAACGTAGTGCCTACGTATAAAATATTCGAACGTCCCCAATTGCTATTGTAAATGCTGGGACCGATGAACGCGTACGTCGAAGCGTTCGCGTCGTTAGCCGCGATGCTGATCGGAATGAATTTCGCTTCCGCGCTGATATTGGAAAGTCTGTATTTGTAACACGCGCCTTGCGACAACGAGCCGCAAGTGATCAATGTCCTCGACTCCGGTTCTACTAGTAGCACCTTGTTGAAGTTGTCCATCAAAGAAACCGATATGTCGGGACCGTCGCAGCCTTTCGCGTGACATAACGGACTGTCGTTTTTCGGTCCGGTCACCACGAAGTGCTCCAGGTTCAAGTTTTGATCCAGTTGCAGCAACACGTTTACACCTGCAAAGGAAACGATTACGTTAAACGCGCGACTAGTTAAATCAGTGGGACCAACAGCGGGACCATTATCATCAACAAAAATACAAATAAAAAAAAACACTAGAACCAGGTTAGCAGACTGTTGTCGATTAAACAAAATAAAAGAGGTGGAGAGCAAAGCAACTATCTGAATAAATCAGAAAGCATGCAGCGGGACCATTATCATCAACATACATCAGAAAGCCGGCAATCGATGGGACCAGCAACGGGACCATTATCATCAACAAAAGTACAAAGTACGTTCGCAGACTGATGAAGGGTTAAATAAAATAAAAAAGGTGGAGCAACTACCTAATTAAATCAGAAAGCAATCGCTGGGACCAGCAACGGAACCATTATCATCGACAAAAGTACAAAGAAAAAGGACACTGCATCCGCATAGAACCCTGTTAGCACACTGTTCAATGATTGAATAAACATAATATGAATAAAAAATAAGTGAAAGTAAAGTAATTATTTAAATAAATCAGAAGTTTTAATGTTAACTCCCAGCAGAGTTTTCACTGAAGGTTCACAAACAGCTGATGAATGATTGAGTCAAAATTCGAAAAAAATTGGGTAGAAAGAAATTCAAAGAAATTAACCAGATCGATCAAGGGAAAATATACTTTCAGCAGAGCTTGCATTGAGGATTGCAATGAAGAAACGTTTAAGGAAGTTATGGCCAAGTAAATAAATGCCTTTAGGAACGGTCAAACCAACAAAACTTTGCCAAGCCGCGTAAGTTTATTCATAAGTTTATTGCATTGATTGACAATTTGTAAAATGCTTCGCTAAGAATATGATACATGCTCTTAAACTTAAAACTCTTAAAACTATCGAGAATTGACAAATATATATATTTTTAATTGTATCCACGTCCAATTTCATTCAGAAAACCGCTCTATTGATTTTGGTATGAGTGTGTCACCCACTCGCTTATTTTCCTTTTTGTCATTTTTGCGCGGTTTGTTTTTTGTTTTTCTGCAGCGAGGTAAAAAGTAATATTTTAGTTTGAGAATGAGAGAATGATAGAAAATCCGTGAGAGGGAACACAAAACCCCAAACAGTATGAAAAATCCATGAAACATAACATAATACGTAACCATTATCTTCACAGACGATTGTTTGTTGTTTCATGGCAAAAGCAAAGCATTGGTCAAAGTTCGAGATGCATTTCGCAGTCGCTGAAGCGAAACTTGGATGCAAACTGCAAATGCTACATTAGCGATAATTGGCGGAATATATAGCCGAATAGATACGTTCCCAGAAACCCTTAGCATAGCTGAATTTTTATTTTGGGAACATACATGGAATGGTGCAGCATATCGATCCTCTGCAACAATAAAATAACATCGACCGCTCGAACACAAACTGCACGTATTCAAAATTTCTGCTAAGTTTTTTCTTTTTAATCTAATAGCCAATAACGATAATAAATTAATTGTCCACCAACCAAGAACCTTAGCAGCATGAGATAATCAATATTGTGCTTAGCAGTGCTATAGCCGTTTTTGAACGTTCAACGCTCTCTGTCGGAATGTTGGTTAGTTTATGGGCGACCTACCTGCCACAAAAATCCTTCTGGTCTTTTGGTCGATGGCCATGTGCGAGAGACGTAGCGGAGGATTGCCTGGGCCTGGGTACTGGGCCAAAAGGGCGCCGTCCCAGGCCCCACGAAAGCCCACCGCACCCGCGAAAGCAGCCAGCAGCCACAGCCAGGCTGTCGCTGCGACGCGGTACGGCCTTACCATAACCTCAAAGACGTTGGCGGCCTCAGAGCGGGCATGCCCAGGGCGAGGCCACTCCAAACCTCAGCTCCAATCCACATTACTGTAAAGAAAACACTATTTATTACAACTGCAAGCAACATTTTAGTATCTGTCATCTTTATGTCTAAGAATAGTGTTTTATTTTTCGTTTTTTAATAAAAATTTTACCATACCAAATCATTTTCAAATAATAAATAATTAAATGCATACTCTTGTAACTAAAAAAACATTTCAGAAAAAATAAAATCCGATAGCGTCCTAAATATAATGATTATTGTAGGAATCCTTCCGTTGAGCTGTTATATCGCAAACTTATCATAAGAATGATATAGGTTCAAAATAATCCCAGCTATGATGAATTGATACCCTTCCATCGACGTACATATAGGTATTGATAAATATTATTTTTAAACATTATAGACTTATTTCACCAGAATGGAGCTGAGAACGACGGTTTATCAAAGAACTTCTTTTATGAAAATAATTAATCAACTATTTACATTATATATAAATATAATATGCAATGAATATAGTAAAAATTTAAAAGATTATTATTATATTTCTAAAATATTAACTTCGATGAATAGGTGTATTTAAATACACCGAAGATTAAAATATCATTTTAGTGTGTAAACAAACTCATCAAAGACAACAACTTTAAATTTAACTTCCGGTTAAGAACTCCCGGTTAATTTTTTATTGGGGGTTAAATTTAGAGTCACCCTGTTCATTAAAAATTCAGCGTGTCCTACTACATACATCAGAAGCATAATGGGTTTGAGCATCATTTGGTTAATGAATAAATAATTAAGTCAGTTATACTCAACATTTTCATTTATTTATTATTATTATTAACCGTTTTCAAGCGATATGAAAAAGTTATAATTGAAGGAACTTTGTTTAAAACATCGTCATCATCAGAAACATAGGCGAAAGTTTATAATTTCAAAAATGCATATTTAACAATAACAAGGCATTATAAAGGTTCGATTATTTATATAGGGGAGTGAATGACTGTATGCAACGTAAGTTTAAGCCGGTTTTATGTAAAATTCGATATTTAGATCATTGTTTTGTGTGGCTTAATCCAGATTAAGTCAAACGGTGCATACCAGGGTTAAACAAATACTAGTATTATTTTAATTATATTATTTAATTTTATTATAATCGCTGTAGTAAATTCATAACCAAATGGAAATCAAAACACACTGCAATGATATGATATTTACACTAACTAGGTGCAAATTACCATTGAAAAGTTGTTTACTTACACTTCATATTATTTCTATTACACTTAAGAAAGATATGTTTACAATCGATGAGTGTAAATGTATCTACCCATCAATTAAAAAATTTAACATTCATAAAAAAGTAAAAACACTTTCAAAAATGTTTTTTTTTACAATTGAGTGTGATGTTATGTGTACCACCTTTGAGTGTTTAACACTCTGTTTATTATTATATCTTCTTGACTTTGAAGTTTATGCTTATTACTAGCTGCTAAGAGTTTGTTATAAATAAAATATAAAAAAATAATACAATTAATCAGAAACATATTCTTTCTAAATATGATATCACAGTTTTCCACAAATCTTACAAATTCCAGTTTAAAAGATGTCAAATGTTGTTAGTAATCCAATACGCACGAGAAAAAAAACGCGAGCTAAAATACAAACAAATATTAAATAAATTAAACATTTTATATAAACACATTTACATACCGTAGTGATATATTCAATAAAATAAGAAAGTACAAATATGATATAAGTAACATTAATATTTAGACTATTTATGTTTATTATCACAAGTTGCTACAGATTTTACAAATTAATATAATCAATTTTTACTCCATTAAAAAGTTAAATTCCAGTTAAAAAGTAATTAAATGTTGTATATCCAATATCTTTTTTAAATTATCCATAAAAATATATTGGAATAACAAGCCAACTGCATTGCATTACACCTGCATTACCATGAATTTAATTTTAAAGAAACTAAAATTTTAACAGAAAATTATCAAAAACTGGTGATAAAGAAATGATTCGCATTAAAAAAGAAATAAATGTTGTCAATAATGGAAAACATATAAGTAATTAAGTAAATTATACCACAATGTAATAACCTAGTCTAAATTAAAAATAAAATCAACTTTCTAATAAGAATACTGTTGAAAATAAAGCAAAAATTAAATACACTCTTAGCAACTAATAATAAACATATATATGTCAATTATTTCATATTCGTACTTATTTAATTCATATTCAATTCGATTGAAATATAACTAAACCATAAAAATATTTGTATATAAAACATTTAAATTATTTAATATTTGCAACAATAGGATAAGAGAAGAGTGAGAAAACGTATCACCATAAGTTACAAAAGGACTTATTGCCATTATTAAAGCAAATTGCAATTGTACAAAATATTAGACTTTAAGAAACTTTATCATAAGAAATAATAGTGTACGGAGACTTATTTCGCATAGTTTCTTGCTTCTAAAACTGCTTTATTTTTTACTGTTTAAATAGGTGTTTCAAATGATTTTTGTTTTATTTTTATTACTCTTAATGAGATTGCCGATATTTACTTTAAATATATTTCTCATTAAATGTAAGTGAAAGAAGCAACTAAAAGAAGACTGAAAAAATGCTATTTGTACGGAGACTTTTTTGACCGACTGTATTTTAGATTAATGATAAAAATCCACATTGTGATTGTGAATTAAAAAAAAATGCTATAACTGAACAACTTCAACCCAAGAACAACTTCAGTAATGTGTTAATGGTAATATTTAATAGTTAATGGTTATTTTTTACACTTGGTAATGACCACCGAACTACTGTTAGTAATAAAATGCGCAAGAGAAAATTCCGCGAGCTATGTTCTAAATTCAAAATTTCGTATTCGATGTAAAAACAGAAACGCAAACGCCACTGGGATACAATCCTTACCAGTTTTACGAAAAATACATCTAAAACATTCAAAAGGGCAATTTTGTGACACAATACACAATCTGTATTCAGTGTACGGAAGATAGTGGCTCCGAGTTTAACGCGCACAGATATGATCGTAGACTCAGAGAGCCGCAATCGTCAGACCGTAACGCCTTTTAACGTTATTTTTTATTTTAAAAACGTCAAAATAAAGTTCGCCGTTAACCTTTCGAGATCAAATCTAGGAATTGCAATACGGCTTTTTTTTATTGCGGCTATTAAATTAATTGCACAACAATGTGGTATCGTCCTTCGTGTATCTTAAATAAGCTTCGATGTTGTACATGGTGTTCCTGAAAATCCTAAAAATGCGTCCATGTCCGACGTACACGGTTTTCATTTATATTTTGCTATCCACCTATAGGGTTTAATCAAAGGACTATGCAGAAAACTTTTTACATATTATATTACAATACTTATAATACTGCCTACATTATTTGATGTACATGCTCCAGTTAAAGAATCACGTATAAGAAAACCAAAGGATCTGGTTGACGTGAAATGTTAAAACATTTATGAAGCAGAGAAATTGCGCTTTACAAAGATTTAAAAGAACTAGGAATAATAGGGTCTTACATAAAAATCTAAGGAATTTTACATTGTCTACAATAAGAAGAGAAAAGAGGATATACCTAGACTCACAGCGCAATTCTAATAACTCCAAACAAACTTAGGAGGCTCAAAAGAATTTTAATATTAACTCAAAAAAAGACATTACTCTTCCAAATAACTTGAATGACCCTGAATTAATAAGTTCTTTACGCAGTTACTTGAAAACAACTCAAACTGTAATGATAAAATACAATATTATCAAGACAATTGTTTTAATAATATCTTGCTGATGATCATAAATATATTCATGAAATTAAAACAAATGTTAATGGGGTTGAAGAAATATCTCCACTTATGCTTAAATACTGCAGTCCTTACATTGATAATTATGTCACTCATTCTTCCATAGAAGTAAACTATTTTCCAAAAAGCTGGAAAATGTCAATTTAAACGAAAGTCAAGTACTGCCAATGCTCTTATAAGTGTCATTGATGATACTGTCCGAGCCACTGGCAAAAAACTTAATACTTTTGGATTTTTCGAAGGCATTCGATAACGGTGAACCATGACCTATTGATTTCCAAACTGAATTTCTATGGTTTTTCCTCTAATTCACGCGAGCTGATTGAATCGTATTTTCCAAATCGATATCAGAAAATATACTATGACAGCAGATATTCGAAAGAAATTGAAATCTTCTCTGGGGTGCCGCAAGGTTCCATTCTGGGGCCGTTATTTTTTTTTTATTTACACTTCTAACATTTTAAAATCTTTAAATTTTTGCAAAGTTTCGGTATGTGCTGACGATACTCAATTGTATTGCTGTTTTGATTTTAATAGTAGCATGGATGCAGAGGTATTTGTAAATCAAGATCTTTACAGGATTAGTGAACTTTCTCGTGCCTATAATTTAAAGCTAAACCCATCAAAATCGCATTTAATGATATTTGGAAATAAAAAAAAATTTAAGCTACTTAAACAAAATATTAATATAATGTTAGATTATATTAAACTTTCCGTTGTCGATTCAGCAAAAAATTTGGGGGTGATCATAGATTGTGATCTAAGATTTGGTGAATATTTAAGAAATATCTTTCATCTTGGCATATTTCTCCCTAAAAATCTTATATAGTATCAGGTATATTTTATATTTTAGACTAAGGAAACAATTACGTGAGTCACTTGTTCTCTCGCATTATAACTACTGTGATGTAGTGTATGACTTTTTTATTGATAACGAGTTTAAGTGCCGTATTCAAAGGTTGCAGAATGCTTATGTTCGTTTTATTATGGGTCTTCGAAAATATTGGCTTAAAATGGAAAAAAGAAGAGCTCATCATTTCAACATATTCGTTATGAAAATTACCCACTTTGCTGAGAGAGCGGCTTACTCCTAGGAGTAAGTACTATCCATTCTGTGAATGTAAAATACAGGTACAGACTAACGAATGGCACATCATCAGAATGCCTTGTTTCGTAGATCTTTCACATGCAACGCAATTCGTGTTTATAA